CCATTTGCCCCCTGCGCTGCCTTCCTGGGTTCCCCATTCTGTGGGCACTCCTCCTGAGTCGGGTGCTTTCTCCCCATGTTCTCAAGATGACTATTTGGAGGTTTGTGGGAGGAGTGGGCTGGAGACACAGGAGTAGGTGGGGGCAGGAAGTATGCAGGAGAGAGATGGATAGTGGGAGGAGAAGCTAAGAGAGGAGAGGACGCGGAGGTGGGAAAAGACGTCAAGACTCCTGGAGAGGAACGGGAGTGCAGCCTGGGACACAGGTGGACATCCACTGAGGGAGGCAGGGAGGAAGGTAGGGCGGTCCACCCAAAAGGAAAGAAAGGGAAGATGGACAGAGAGGGAGAGGACTCCTCCCTTTAGAGAAGGCCCAGAGAGAGAGAGGGCATCGAAGAAGACCTAGCACACTCAGAGTTGCATGAATCAGTGTGAACGGGCAGTCCCAACTGCACAGCTGGAGGCTTGACTCTTGAGTTGGATGATGTTGCCTTGCTGTAGGCCAACGTGATGGGCACTGTGAGGCTTCCTTCCAGAGAAGGAGGCATGGGGCCAGTGCCAGGCAGTGGGGAGAGCTCCAGAGAACCTGTGGAGATGGGAAAAGGCACAGGGACTCGTGGAGATGAAACAGGAGAGCAGCTTATGGCAGCGACCCCAACCCTCAGGAGGGGTGTTGGTCTTGTGCTTGTGGCCCCAGAGGGTGTAAGACCAAGATCTCTGGTTTCATAGACTCTTAGGCTTTAAGAAGGACCTAAAAGTAATTTAGTCCAGACCTTCATTTCTCCCCAGATAAGTGCAGAAATGCAGATCCAGTCCAAGGCTGAGCCCCAACCCTGGCTTCAGAGAAGGCCTAACTTAGAACAGCCTCCCCTTTCTTGGTACCTGGGGTGAATGAAAGATAAGTGCTTGGGAATGGTGCTGTCTGTGGTACTGACTGGCCCTACCTTGGATGACAGAGCTGCAGGTGGAACTAGGGAGAGCAGAAAGGCTCCATCTATCCATCTACCCACCCACCCAGCCACTTGTCTACCTATCTACCCACCCATCCATCCACCATTCATCTGTCTATCTACCCCCTCAACCCATCTTCCACTCATTCATCTATCCACCCACCCTCTCATCCATCAAGCTTCATTGAATTAAACCACCAAACCATAGAGCTATATGCTGCAGAGCTAGAAAGATCTATTTTTTAGTAATAAGAAAACTGAGTCTCAGAAGAGGAAGTTGCTGCTTAAGGCCACACAGAACTTCTGTAGTCAATCTGGGACAGGATTGGAAATTGCCACTCTTTTCTACACACCACAAGTTCTCCCCTTTGGTCTGGGAAATTGCCTGGTTGTTATGCTGATATCTATACTGTTATTTGTTCCAAAAAGCTGTGAAGGCAGTAAGTGTTACCTTCTTCATCCCATCTTGAGCCTGGGGGGTGTGTGTGTGTGTGTGTGTGTGTGTGTGTGTGTTGTGCAAGCCTAAGTGTGACCTTGTGTGTGCATTGAATATATGATTGCCTTTGATTTGTCTGTATGCGTTTTGTGTGAGGGCCTGCGCATATACACATATGAGTAGAGGCATGTGCATGGCAATATATATTTGTGTGGCATGTGAGCAGGTAAAGCTGTGTCTGTATTTTTCATTTCCTCTTCCTTTTAAGATTGAAGCTCCCTGACTTGAGCCTGGCTCCCCATCTGTGCCTCCAATTCAGGAATCTCCCCACTTCCCATTCTCAGCTGCTCCCCGCTGCTTCTCTCCTTCCTTCACTGACGCAGCCACTCTGCCTTCTAAGCCCACATCTCATGGGCTTGGCAATTTGAGCTATTTCCTTCCCTGAGTTGATGCAATGGGGGTGAGGTTGCTTTGAGATCTGGGGAAGATTCATGGAGGAGATGGCCTTTGATCAAGCCTTGAAGGCCCCTTGGAGTGCCACGTCTAAAGTGGCCCTTCCCGGCTGCATTTCCTGTGCCCAACACCCTCCACTCCTGGGGCAGGCTGGGCAGGACCAGGAGATGGATTGACCGAAGGATCCCCGCAGAGAGCCTTGGGCTTCATCGGTCACGTCATCATCCAGTCCACTCTGGCATGGATGTGAAGCCCTTCCCTGCTGCTGCTCCAGCTCTCCCCAACTTTCCTTTCCTGCTCTCCTTATTGCTATTAGCCTGCATTTGGCCTGAAAAGTCATGGAAAACTGAACAATCAGAGCAAAGGTCAGATAAGCACCCACCAATTCTAGTAAAGGACAGTGGAGGGCATTTCCCAATCAAAGCAAAGGGCAGGTTGAGGAGTCCACCAATCAGAACAAAGGACAGACTGTTCTTTCTGAGCCCCTACTAGGGTGGGAGCGGGGATCCGGTGCTGAGCCGGAACCAGACAGGAGCCAGAGATCCAGAGGTTTGGGTTCTGGACCTGGCTCTGCCCTGACTGGCTGACTGACCACAGGTGGATCATTGCTTCTCTTTGAACCTTGGCTTCCTCATCTATCATATGGGGAGACTTAACTGTCTAAAGTCTGTGGCTTTGAAGAATTTCTCCCCCTGTATCAAGCTCATTCCATCATCTGGGTCTCTCTTTCCCAAGTCCACAGCACATACATCAGACTCCTCTGAAGGCAGGGCCTCTCAGGAGGTCAGCTTGTTGGCGGCTCCTCTTGCCTCCAGGCAGGAAGAGACATAAACCAGCACCACCTTCTGCACAGTCCTTAGAGCCCCAGTCTGGAGAGCCTGCATCTGGAAGACCTTATTTTGGGAGTATTTGGGGCATCGGCTCTTCCTCCCCTTTTTAGTCTTCAGAATTGACCTTGGAAGGCCATAACAGCCTGCGTATATACTGTGTGCAGGTATCGCTAGAGCTCTTGCCCTGCAAATCCAGAAGGAACAAGAATGCATGCGTATGTGCATGTGTATGTGTGTTTGTGTTTGTGTGTGTGCACCTGGATGGTGTCTGAAGGCATGCTGGGATGTCTGTGAGAATGTGGAGTCTGTGGCTAGGTGGTGCTGAAGGTGTCTGTACTGTGACTAGGAGTGCCTAATGGTCAAAGGACAAGTGATCCAATTTGGGTATTGTATTGTCTGGAATCAGCAGCTTCTAATGTCTGAGGGCAGACATCTTCCTTAACCAAGTTATGTGTCTTCATCCTTGAGCAGCGGGAGGGACCAAGGAAGCCTGGGTGTTGGGGAAAGTGATGCTGAGTAAGCATCTGGGGAGAAGGCCCACTGCCGCCCTCGTCCTGGGAACACAGGATTGGGTGGGGGTAGGGGAGGAAACTGCAGCCAGGAAGACCCGGGAGCAAAACTTGGAGCTGAAGCCTGGACACAAGGCTTCATTTAGAGCCGTGTGGAACTTTCTGACAGATAGGCATTCAGCCCATTCTTGAGCTCACTTCCTCCCTCTCTCCTGGTGGCCTCTCTCCTGGTGGCCTCTGCCTTTGTAGCATGGCCCTGCTTGGAAGAAGGTCCTTTATCCCACTAGACCAAGGCCAGCCTCCTGTGAAATCCTATGGGTTCCCAGGGTGTCCGTGGGGCCACAGTATTCAGATCCCCCATCCAGGAGGTTCTGAGAGATTGGAGCTGGAGACTGATCTGGGTCTCCTCTGCTGTAGATGAGGCATCACCGGGTTATCCAGTCTTAGTCACAGACAGGACTTGGTTCCAGTTCCCTCCTTTCATGGGTCGCCTCCTCTGGCTGGATTGCCTCCTCTGGCTGAGTCTCATCTTGTTAGCACCTGGGACACAATGAAAGGGGGATGGTCTAACTAGACTATAGAAGTGGAGGAACTGTCACCTTCCCAACTGGGTGAACAGACCTGTATTAATACGGCCTGCAGTTTGAGCATTTTTATTTTTTGTCAGTCATGCTTACGCTGTGAGCTCATGCTGAGCTTGTGGTCTTTTAAGACCCTCAACCTCATGTCATGTTCACATGAATGGAGACCCAGCCATGTCTCGTTCATTTTGCAGTTAATCACTTTGCTTTCTGAACAGACTCAGCCTTCCACTGGGAAGACATCTGAAAGGACTTCCAAGGGCTTGCAGGAGGGCATGGCTGGTGGATGGTGTGAGTCACGATCTTGCCTTGGCCCCTGTTTCCTTTGTTCTGTTACCTTTCTCTTTGATCCCCACGGCTCTGGCCAAGTTAATAGAGCGAGAAGCAGGGACTTTTGTCTCCGTTCCGGCTCTGCAAGGACGAGCCCTGTTCCTGGGATGGGAAGGCTGGGAGGCAGTCAAGGCTGACGTCTCCTTCTCCTCTAGTTGCCAGGGAAGGCCCAACTGTTCTTCCATCTCATGGGTAATGCACCCCATGGACTCTTGTGACTCTCAACCCAGCCCCTCACTAGGCTGGAAAATGAGACTAGGTGAGACCACCTCTCTTCTGGTGAAAGTGAGTGTGACCCAGCTTCAGCGGACGTTCAGCTGAGCATCTACTCCGTGTTGGGCATTCTGTAAGGCACTTTTAGTGCTCTGTTTCATTTTTATTTTCATTTTTAAGGGCTCAATTTCATTTTGTCTTCGTGTCAGCCTGTAGGGGGCAATAGCCCCAGCTGCTTCCAACTTACAGATAGGAGACAGGCTCAGTGACTCAACCAGGACACTCACTGCTCATGCTGAGTGGAGCTAGGACTCATATTTGGATATTTTGTTTGTTTGTTTGCTTGTTTTGTTTTAATTTGGAGGCTGGACGTTTCCCTACCATGCCGGAATTGTCCTCGACTAGAGAACAAGAGACCTGGGGTCTAGGCCAGGCTTGACCTGTTGACTCTCACTATGAGGACTTTGCTAAGTCCCTGGCCCTTCTCTGAGCCTCAGTTTCCCCACCTGTAAGGTGAAGGTACATGGACATTCTGTGACCTTAGACTGTTTGATTTCAAGATCGTAAGATCCTGGAATTCATGTGCCTCAGAGCCTCGGGCTCTGGTCTAAGCTGGGGGGTTTTGCTCACAGTCCTTTGGGCAGGTGGCGCTGCCCTGGCCTGCCTGGCAAAGCCCCTCACTGCCCTCTCCTCTCTTTCAGGATGCTTTGCTGAGTCTGGGCTCTGTCATCGACGTTTCGGGTCTGCAACGCGCTGTCAAGGAGGCCCTCTCAGCTGTGCTTCCCCGAGTGGTAGGTGTCCACCCTTGCCCCATGATTTCCACCCCAACCCCCGAGTCTTTGACCAGCTGTATGCTGCACCTCACCCAGGGCCAAGGAGGAAGGAAGAGGCAGGGTCCCTACCCAGAGGATTTTCATGGGAAGTGAAGGGTCTGGGTGGGTGTTCTGAGACGGTTTTCTGGAGGAGGAAGCCTGAAGCTAAGCACTAAGGAATGAACTTGCATAGGAATCCTGCAATGGCTGAGCCAGAAGGGGCTTAGAGTTCAAGTGGAAAGGCTGTGTCTCAGATAAGGAAAGGTATTCACTTAGGAAAACAGGATGTGGTGGACTCAGGTGGGTTTTGGAATACATGGAGCAGGAGAAGTTGAGGGTAGACATGTAGAAGAACTTCATGGAAGCCAGGTCTGGGAGTTGCTAGAATAGGGATCAGCTTTGATAAATAGAAATGCATTAGGTTAAAGCACCCTGCCTGGAGCCAGGAGGCTGGAAAAATCACTTCTGGCAGCCTTTTAGTGGCTTTCTGTCTGTCCTATCCCAATATCATGGATGGGTTGCAGGTTTGGGGCAGATGGAGGGTGGGGATCATGGTTGCCTGAGCCCAGAGTACCTTACTGGGGAGATTGTGCCTCTCATCAGCTGCTCCAGGCCACTCCCCAATCTGGTTCAATGGCCACTGTTCATCCCTTTGGTGGGAGGATGGGTAAACCAGCCCTTGAGACCTAAAGTAGCAGGGTGCCAGTTGTGCCAGATAGAGGGAAACAAGGGACTTTTGGAGCCTGGGAAAAGGAGTCTGATCCAGCCTAAGAGACATGGAAGACTTCCTGGAGGAGGAGGTGCCCTGACTGAGTCCTGATAGCCTTGAATGTCCTCTTCCCTACTCCAAACACCACCAAGGGGAGCCTCTGCTCCAGGAAATATGGCCAACTCAGAATGCGACCTTCCCATCCTGCCAGAGCCCATTGTCCCTGAATCTGCTTGATGGATGAACCACCAGAGGCCCAGAGAGGGAGGGCACTTGCCCCAAGGTCACACAGCATGACAAGGATAAATGGGACTTGGCATCTAAGCACCCCCATTCCCTCTCCTTAGCTCTGCCTTTCCCAAACCTCTTAGAAGTTCAGAGCCCAGGAGGAGGGCTAATGAGTGAGCTTTATTGAGTGTGAAATTGGTAGGAAGTGGGTGAAGTGTTGGTGCCCAAAAATAAATCCTCCCAGAGAAGGATGGGACTGAGACAACATCTGGCTTGGGATGGAGGCACATCTGGAAAGGGAGGGTGGTGGAAGCTGGCACGTTGGTTTCCGCAGGGCTGCCCCGAGAGCCTCTGTGGCCACCAAAGCTGCCCAGGTGGGAGAAGGAAGTGACTGGCTCTGTTTCACAGGCAGGGTGCCCTGGTGGCTGTGCCAGCCTAGATGCTCTATGACAGATTAATTGTCTCCCCAAAGCTGGGGGCTGGGATGACAGCTGTGGTCCAGGTTCCTGGGATGGTGGGAAATGTCAACCCTGGCCCACCCAAGAGACCTATATGAGGTAGGGAAGCCCTGACTTTTGGGAGCCCTGGCTTGATTGCACGGAGGGGCTCAGCCCCCAGTGAGGTGAGGGAGCTGAGGTCTGCTCTGCTGCCCCCAGGGAGGGGAGTGGAGATGGGGAGGGGACCCCCACCCAGGGAGGAGAGCAGCTAGCACCTGGCTTCCTCATCAGCACCCATTGTGGCAGGCAGCCCCGAATGCAGATGGTGCTGATGTGTCTGAAATGGTTCCCTCCTTCTCTCCAATAGACTCAGCTAATTTTAACCTAGAGGGCTGAGAGTGAGGGGGTGGGAGACACACGGACATCCAGAAGTGAAGCAAGAATTTGTCCCTCTCTGCTCTCATGGATTACCCACCCCTCCTTCTGCCTGGGCAGGACTTTCCATGTGACCTGGGGTGGTCTCTTAACCTCTTTGGGCCAAATACCTCAGGCCCCTCCCAGGCTGCTGGAAGAGCTGGATGACAAGAAGGAGGCTAGATATAGCCGAGGAGTGGGCGGCCTCTTCCCACTGAATTCTTTATCCCCGAACTTCCCACTTAGGTTTCCTTCCAGCCAAACAAGAGGGTGTCTGCCCCTCTCACTCCCCTCGGGCCTTGTTATCCCCACCCCATGTCACAGCCACCACTGAACCTGGCTTAGTGTCTCTGGAAATAGTGGCTGGGCATCTCTTGGGGATTAGGAGGGGGTGGGGGCTGGCTGGGGACAGCCGATGACAAGAGTGGCTGGCAGGATTGTGGACTCTCAGAGTCATGGAAGGCAACTGCTTCCGCTGAAGATTCCACACTTACTGAGGGTGGGCCTTCAACACGTACTCCACTGTCACCTCCTCCTGAAGCCTTCCAGGATACCATCAGCTGGGAGGCGAGCCCTTCTCCACCATCCCACAGAGAAACAGCAGAGTTGCGGACAAGGATGTGTTGCATGGGGGTTGGGCAGGGATCCCTAAGAGTTGCCAGTTCTGCTCAGAAGGAATGCGGATTTTTGCCTATAGGTCAGTGAGGGCAACTACTTCTGCCAAGACATGGCCTGGAACTGAGGCCAGAGCTGCTCTGGGCCCTTGGGGAGGGAGGATTGAAGAGCAAGAGCTTTGATCTCCCTCTGAGGAGTAATCAGTCCAAAATACAAATCTGCTCACGTCTCCCTGCACACGTCTTGCTCTGTCCCCAGTTCTGTTTGTAAGGCCCATCCCACTCAGCCCTGCTGACCTCGGGCCCAGCCCCCGTGCCCCTCCCTTCACTGTCTGTTCCTGAATGCTCCATGCTCTATACACCTCTGGACCTACCCGTGTACCTGCTGCGAGGCCTGGGAGCCCATTCTGTACCCGGCACACTCCCTGAATGTGTCAAATTCCTACTCAGTTACAGCTGGAAGGTTACTTCCTCCAGGAAGCCCTCCCTAGGCCCCACGGAGGATGGTGCAATGGCCTGCTCTGTGTTCCTCCCTGGCTGGGGTTATGGATGTGTGGTTTCTCGTAGAGTTGAAGGAGAGGCACTTCCTAGAGCATTCTGAGCCCCATCCCTGGTACAGCTCAGAGTGGATGCTCAGTTACTGTTTGCTGAGTGCCCGAGGCTGGAGTCAGGCAGGGAAATGTCCCTGGGTGGGAGGTGATTTGTCTGCACCTTCAGTCCTTCAAACTCTTTGCCTGGCATGTTAAATTTTGGGTGGTAAAGAAAGTCCCATCTTTACTGAATCACTGCCTGCTTAGAATCCCTTCCAAGAGGAGAGGGCGAAGCACTCAGTCCACCAGGTGTTTTGCTGCCCTTGCTGCATCTTAGAATCACCTGGAGAGTAAAAACGAACAGATCAATGGCAGAGCTCCACTCCCACAGGGTCCATGACCTTGCCACACAGAACCCTGTGTGTAGACTGGGACCGGGCAGCTGGGAGGGCCTCTCCGCAGAGTCTCATCAGTGCCTTCTGTCCTAGGAAACTGTCTACACCTACCTGCTGGATGGGGAGTCCCGGCTGGTGTGTGAGGACCCCCCACATGAGTTGCCCCAGGAGGGGAAAGTCCGGTGAGCCATTCTCTGCACTCCCATTGCCCTCTTGCAAGGCCAAGGATTCTCAGGACTGAGGCACCGTCCAAGGTCATCTGGTCTGACCCTCCCCATCCTACCTTGGTCCCAGCCTTCCTGCCAGGTGGGCTTTCTTGGCCTGGTTGCTGACCCCAGCTTAAAGGGCAGAAACAATATCTTCTCTCTGTTGGGGAAATGGATATGCACAGAGAAAGTACCAAGTGATGGTAAATTTTCTCCTTCTAATTGCTTCTAAATGACTGTGGCCTCCTGAGAGCACAGTCTCAGAATGTCGGGGCTATGGTCTACAGTTAGAACACCAGCATGCTGTGAGAACCACTGTGAGGCTGGACTTGGAATCTAGCAGCTGGGCCTGCAGGAGCCAACTCCTTGTATCTGAGAACAGGGAGATCAGAGGCAGCATCCTGCTGAGGGTTCTGGAGCCCCACAGCCTGGGTTCAAATCCCAGCTTCCTGTTTAATAGCTGTGTAATCTTGGGCAAATGACACAACCTCTCTGTGCCTCCGTTTTGTTTGTGAAATGGTGATAATAATGGTACTTATAGGATTGTGGGGAGGATTAAATGTGTGTAACACATGTGAAGTATTTAAATCAGCCTGATCCATGGTGAGGACTATCTGTGGGGGATTACCATTGTGAGAGAATGCTGGAATTACTGACTTCAGGATCACAGGATCAGTGCACTTTGCCCCCCGATACCTTGATGCCCATTTAATTCAGCCTCCTTATCTTCAAGATGGGTAGATACCATGAGACATGACCAAGGCTACATGCCAGGTAAAAGGCTGAACCAGCCCTAGGACTCGGGTCTTGTGGCTCCTGGCTATGCAGGGGACAGTGAGAGGAAGCAGAATTTATCAGAGAGAAAATGGTGGGGGCTGCATGCTGCTGAGAGGAGGCAGGCTCTAAAGGATGTGGCCATTGACTGCTAAGCCACTGAATGAAAGGCCATTGTGGGGCCCAGGGAGCACTGGGCAGGGAGCTGAGGGCAGAGTGGGCACCAGTGAGGGTGTCCCCAGAAGGCAGCTCTCTACCCCTGTGAGGAGGGCTTTTCCAATAAGCTGAGTGGTCCAGGGATGTGGCTTTTTCAGGTAGCAGCTGAGCCTGGCAAGTCACACACCTTTCACAGGGCCATGGAAAGAATTCTGTTTGGGATGCTGGGCTCGTGGTCCTGAGGCCTCTCCTGGTGCTGGAAACCCTGGTTTCTAGGATGCTGGCCTCTCTCCCCGGCCCCATTCCTGTGGAAGGAGTTGGTTCCACTCTGATAGCCTAGAGCCTTCCCATCTCCTCTTCTCCCACTGAGCTCCTTTCACCTTCCCCTAAGAAATTCTCCGTCAAGGAGTGTGGGAACAAATCCACGACCTCCCTCTCTAGCCTCATATCCCATCTGTAAGAGGACGGGACAGCACTGAAAAGTCTTTAGAATCTTAAGGGGAAAAACATGCTCATGTCCCCTTTTCTCCTCAAATTCTAAAGAACTGCATTCTCCTCCAGCTACCCCCACCTCTAATTCTAAAGAACTTTGCTTTATATGAGCTCTGCTCCTTTAGGAGGGCTCCTCAAAGCATCCTGGGAGGCCTTCCTGGGAGGGAGGCAGGAACACAGGCTTGGGAGGCAGCAGGAGCAGCCTGCGGGTGTGCTTTGCCCCTGGGTCCTGCACAGGATCCCCTAGTCTGTCTGGGCGTGCGGAGCTGGTGCATGTCTGCAGTTCAGGCATCTTTGACAGGGCCCAGATCCTTGGCATCAGCTGCCCTTTCAGCATCCTCCCTCCAACCACTCAGACTCTGTCAGGCCTTTGGAAAAAATACAAAAGAAAAGCAATTAAAAGTGAATGTTCAAATGCAATTAGCCCAAAGCTTGGTGGAGCTGGGGAGGTGAGTGCCTGCTGGGAGACGGGTTGGAGAATCCAGGAGGAGGGCCAGGGGATGAGAAGGGAAGAGGGTGAGCACAGTGAGGACCTCTCAGGGGTCATCAGGGCGGCAAGGCTTGGAGTGAAGGCCCAGGCCCAGCGCTCTCTCTGGTATCTGAGCTCTGCTTGCCCACCTTGGTGCCTGGTGTCTGGTGGTGAGCCCACCTCCACAGTTAGGGCGGAGAGGCCTCAAGACTGGTTTGGCCTTCAGGAGCTCCCAGCAGGATGTGGACTTGAGACCCAGGTATATGAAAGAGGGAAGAGCACTGGAATGGGGTTCAGACAGGTCTGGATTTTAGCTTGGCCCCATCCCTCTATCTCTGCATTCCTACCTGAGGGCCTCTCCATTGGCTTAATGAGGTAACAGGTGCCAAGTGTTTGGCACAGTGCCCAGAACACAGTTGGAGCTCAGTGATTTGCTACTTGCACCCTGACAAGTTCCAACCAGTGATTAGCCTTGGGTGACCTTGAGAAAATGACTTCCTTTCTGGCCTCAGTCTCTTTTTCTGTGAAATGGGTGGGATTGGGTACAGGGGTCTTTTGATGGTGACCTCTGTGGCTCTGATCCCCCCAGGAGGGAGAGGATCCGGCCTGCAGGCTGCTGTGGAGCCCGAGGCTCTAGCAGTGCCAGAGGAGGCGGGGGTGTGGGGAGGGTGCTCCTCCAGGAAACCCTGGACGGCTGGCAAACAGCAGGGCTGGCAAACAGCAGCAGGTGTGGCATGGAGGCTGGATCATAAAGACAGATAAGGAGGCCTGACACAATGGGTCGGGAATGGGCTCAGGCCGGTGTGGGGAGAGGAGGGTGGAGAAGCGTCAAGGTGGATTAAGGAGGGCCCAGTGAGGAGGGCCTGCCAGCTCCCAGCCCCACCTGCCCCTGCCCCCCTCCTCCACTCTGCAGGCTCTCAGATGCCCAGCTGCATCCCCCTGGCGTGTTTGGCTTTTCTATCTTCTTGTCTTGCAAGGGCTGCTCGCTTCCTTGCAAAGCCTTCCCTGCTCCACTTTCATCTCAGCCAATCCCATTTTACTTACCTTTAGTGGCCCGGCCAGAAGCCCTCTTGGGGAAGCCTGCTCCACAGCTCCCTGACACTGAGAAGTATCCAAGTTTCAGGAAAGGGGCCTGGGCCATAGTGGCCTCTCTTAGGGATGGGTCTGCCCACAGGACAGGGCCAGGAGTCAGACACCTGGAATCCAGGACAACATGGCTGCAATCACAATCCCATGCCCTCTCCCCGGGCCTTCTGTAAAATGATAGGCTGGACATTCTGATGTTGAGGGCTGGTGAGGCTCTGAATTGTAAGGGCTGCAAAGGGCCTTAGGGCTGGAGAGGAGAGAATCCTGGAAGGCTGCCTGGGCCAGGGTCTTCTTGGAAGGAGGCTTCACTTCCCTCTTGTTGGTGCCCTACCTCCATCTCCCAGCCTGTTTCAGGCCCAGCTCTGCCGCCTTCCTCTTCTGGAGTCTCCTGCTATCTTAAAACCTCTGATTACCTGCTGCTGAGTGCAGCGAAAAATCTCAGGCCTTTCAGCAGCAACTGAAGCACCCACCGCCCCCACCCCAGCCCAGGCTGGCTGTCTCCCTCCACTACCATTTTGGGGTCCCAGGACCCATCCCTAAGAAATTTCTTGCCCTAAGGGGACCAGGTCTCTCCTTACAGAATCTGGCCATCCCTAGGGTTTGTCTCGGAGGACACCGGGAACTGTATGCATCTTGGGATCCCCACATACTGGGGGAAGGAGGGGAGAAGAGATCCAGGTCTTGGTGGTTCAGTGAGAGTGGGGGGCTTAGCGAGGGGATGGGGGCCCAGTGAGAGTGGGGGGTTTGCAAGGGGATGGGGGTCCAGTGAGGGGATGGGGCTCAGTGAAGGGATGGGGGTTTAGTGAGGGGATGGGGGCTTAGTGAGGAATGGGGTTTAGTGAGGGGATGGGGTTTAGTGAGGGGATGGGGGCTCAGTGAGGGGATGGGGTTTAGTGAGGGGATGGGGACTCAGTGAGGGGATGGGGTTTAGTGAGGGGATGGGGGCTTAGTGAGGAGATGGGGTTTAGTGAGGGGATGGGGTTTAGTGAGGGGATGGAGGAGGCTCAGTGAGGGGATGGGGTTTAGTGAGGGGATGGGGACTCAGTGAGGGGATGGGGGCTCAGTGAGAGTGGGGGGTTCACAAGGGGATGGGGGTCCAGTGAGGGGATGGGGACTCAGTGAAGGGATGGGGTTTAGTGAGGGGATGGGGACTCAGTGAGGGGATGGGATTTAGTGAGGGGATGGGGGCTTAGTGAGGGGATGGGGTTTAGTGAGGGGATGGGGTTTAGTGAGGGGATGGAGGCTCAGTGAGGGGATGGGGTTTAGTGAGGGGATAGGGTTTAGTGAGGGGATGGGGGCTCAGTGAGGGGATGGGGTTTAGTGAGGGGATGGGGACTCAGTGAGGAGATGGGGGCTCAGTGAGGGGACGGGGCTCAGTGAGAGCATAGGGGCTCATTGAGGGGATAGGGGCTCAGTGAGGGGATGGGGGCTCAGTGAGGGGATGGAGGCTCAGTGAGGGGATGGGGGCTCAGTGAGGGGATGGAAGCTCAGTGAGAGAATAGGGGATCAGTGAGGGGATGGGGGCTGAGTGAGGGGATGGGGGCTGAGTGAGGGGATGGGGCTGAGTGAGGGGATGGGGCTTAGTGAGAGGATGGGGCTCAGTGAGGGGATGGGAGCTCAGTGAGGGGATGGGGGCTCAGTGAGAGCATAGGGGCTCAGTGAGGGGATGGGGGCTCAGTGAGGAGATGGGGGCTCAGTGAGAGAATATGGGCTCAGGGGATGGGGGCTCAGTGAGAGAATAGGGGCTTAGGGAATGGGGGCTTAGTGAGGGGATGGGGATTCAGTGGGGGATGGAGTCTTAGTGAGGGTGGGGGGGCTCAGCGGGGGGATGGGCGTTCAGTGGGGGATGGAGACTTAGTGAGAATGGAGGGCTCAGTGAGGGTGGGGGTTCCCTTGAGGGATGGGGCTCAGTGGGAGGATGGGCTTAGCAAGAGGCTTGGCTGTTCACTTCGGACTGGGACCTAGTGGGTGTTGGGGGACTCAGTGAAAGGGAAGGGGCTTCACCACAGTAGAGGACCCGAGAAGAATACACAGGGACTCGGAGAAGTGCACAGGGCCTGGGGACCCAGCTCTTTCCAGGCTGTTGGCCCTACCAGCAGAGAACCTTTCCCTCGATTCTTTTCCATTAAACAAATAGTTGTTAAAGGGACGGAACTGTCATAAAGTCCACGCCCGTTCCTCTCTCCACTCTGTGCCCATCTGTCCTTATCTTCAGTGGGGCAGGCTGTGACCACCCAGGCACCCAGGGCTGTCATTAGCCTTCGCCTGGGCAGCTGGCCTGGGGTGTGGAGTCCCCCACAACCCCCAGCATGAGCCTGGAAGGCAGGGTGGGGTGGGGGAGAAGTAAGGGAGGAACTGGAGAGGAGCAGGGAGCCGCTCTGGGTTGAGCAGGGACAAAGCCCCCCTCCCATGTGGGTCGGGGAGACTCGGCCTCGGCACATTCCCCCTTGCAGTCTGTGGGCATCTTTGGAGCCTCCAGGAGGATGGCAGTTCTGGGGGGGCTGCAGCAAGAGGAAAGGGATTCTCAGGGTGGTAGGTTGAGGCAAGCTGGGCTGGGGATTCGGCTAAGCCAGGGGAGGGCAGGCTACAGAGCAAGGTGCCGAGGCTTCCTGAGAACTGAGGGTCCTTGGAAGCCCCAGTGCTTGGGGGTATCTCGGCTTAGTCAAGGTTGATCTGTCCTAGCCTTGCCTCTCTCTTGTCCAGGGCCACTAAGATGATGGGATCCTCGCTGAGACCAGGTTTCCAGTGTCACATTCTCCATATGCAGAGAGTTTTACCCAGGCAGCAGCGCAATCCATCTGAAATCACACCTGACCGTTCCCGTGCCCTGCTCAGAATGGGAAATCCTGGGGCTTCCGCTGCCCTCGGGCTCAGGCCCAGCTCCCCGGGGCCCCAACTCCTGTCTAGCCTTGCTCTCAGCTGTCCAGCCACACCAACGTCCTCGTGGCCATTCCGTCAGCAGGCACAGTCTTCTCGCCTCCGCACCTTTGCGCAAGCAGTTCCCCTGACATCCTTTCCTGTCTGCCTCGATAACCTCTGCATGTGTTTTAGGACTCAACTCAGGTGTCTCCCTCTGCAGGAAGCCTTCTGTGGCTCCATCACACCCTGCACCTGGGCGGGCTGGGCCTGCTTGTCCTCCCTTTGGCGGAGCCCTCATCTCCCGACTCAAGCCTGGGTCTGTATATCAGTCTCCGAGGGTCCTTGGCCTCCTCAGGGGAGGCCTGTGTCCCGCCCCTCTGCTCATCTCAGCCTTCAGTACTGAACTGGACCCAGAAGGACCCAGTGGAATGAGAGGTTTTAAGGAGGGTACTCCCCTGAGGTTTTTAGTCCAGAACATTTATTCTTGCTGTGGCATGGAGGACGGATTGAAGAGACCCAGCTACAAGGCCAGAGGCTGGGGAGCAGCTTCCCCAGCGTTCGGGGGAAAGGCATCTCCATGTGGGCTGGGCAGTGGCTTGGGCATAGAGAGCAGAGGACTGTTGTGAGACACCTGGGAAGTGACTCACTGATCAGATCGGGGAGGTGAGGAACGGAGGCAGGTTTTTGGACAAGCAGAGAAGGACCACCCGGTGGATGATTGTGCTGCTTTGCTGCAGGGTGGGGGAAGTGGAGATAATAATTCAGTGTAATGGAGGTCCCTGGGCCACCTCAGGGATGCGATGGGGAGGCTCCAGGTGGCCTTTGGGTATCTGGGATCTGGAGCTCGTGAGTGAGGGCTGGAGAGTCATGAGGCCGTGAGCCCGGAGGAGGGGTTTTGTGCAAAACAGAAAAAAGGTTGAGGACAGTTTCCTTCATTAGGGTCCTGGGACAGAGAGGCCAAGGCAGACCCCATCCAGGTCTGGGAGGGGAATATTTGGGGTCGGACCACAACGCAAGGACCAGCGCCACCGTGTGGCCTCCGGGTAACCAGATTGTCCGAGGTCAAGGAGCTGGCAGGGTTTGGCCTGGGGTCACCCCCTGCCTCCCTGAAGTCTCAGCCTGCATCAGTTTAATGATTAGGAAATGTGGCTCCCGTTGCCCTCCTGCTGCCCTACGCTCCCCCACTTCCTCGGGTGACCGGCAATGTGGTCAGCCCAGAACTCCAGGAGGCTTAAAGATCCCGGGTGTAATGGCAGGAAGGTGGGAGACACCACCAGTTTCTATAGATTCTGGATTACTCCAAGTGGCCGGGAAGGAATGGGTCTGGTTCAGAATGCTGCATGAGCTTGAATGAGATGCTCAACCTCTTTGGTCCTCGATTTGTCTCAAATCTGTGACCTAATGATCTTGTGACTTGCAGGCCACCCCCTCCTTTTCCTCATGTGACCTCTGCTGGGCTTCCCTTAGTGACCCTCTAGTCACACAGTTCCCCAAGTTTCTCTTCCATCCAGGCCAGGCAGTTCCTACAAGCATAGGTAAGTGGAGGCAGCGTGAGGGAGGAAGAAGCCAGGACAATTAATCCCCAAGGAGTGACAGTTGGTGTAAACTCAGGTGCTTAATTAAGCAGGATGAGCCAGAGGCCAGGGGGATAGAGGAGGTGGGTTGTGTGGTGGGACAGAGAGAAACTCATTATTCCCGTACCAACCTCTCCTGCCTTGGTTCCCCCACCACTTCCCCACCATCATACCCTGACACTCACAGCAGTCCCCTGTTCAAGGCTCACACCTCCACAGGTCTTTGGAAAGGTTCCAGCATAGTGGTTAGACCTAGCCCTGGTGCCACCTGCCTGGGTTCAAATCCTGGCTCTACCACTTATTCGCTGTGTGACCCTGGACACATGAATTAGCCTCTCGGTGCCATAGCTTCTCCATCTGAAAATGAAGATGCCGATTATATCTCACTCATAAAATTGCTGGGAATTCTGAGCTCATTTGTGTGAGTGGCTTGGGCTGTGCATGGTACATAGGAAATGGTCAATCAACTTTAGCGATGATGATTTCCTCCTGAACTAAAAGCTGATCTCCAGTTGTTTTCTGAGGATGGTGATCGGGAGGATTCTGCTCTCCCCACCGTAGTTGTCCTTGGGAGGATCAGAGAGGTCAGGTCACATGCCCAAGGTCAGCTTGTAGCAGGTAGCCTAGCTCTGAGCCCCTGCATTCACTTCCTCTGCTCTCCCACTGCCTGGAAGATCTGTGGTGGGCCCTGCCTGAGCCTTTACCAGCAAGAGGCACAGAGGCCAGACTGTGGCTGCCTGTTTCCCCACATAGGGGCCAGGGTCCCCTACTTCTTTACTTTTGCTGTCATCATGTCCACCCTGAGGCAGGTCAGCTTGTCCAGATCCTTGCACATGTGTAGGGTCCAAACTGTCCTGTGTCCCCAGGCCAGGCTTTGCTCCTCCCTGAGCCAGAGGCTCTCAAGGTGGCATTGTGTCCTCTTTTCAGAGAGGCTGTCATCTCCCGGAAGCGGCTGGACTGCAATGGGCTGGGCCTTTCGGACCTGCCAGGGAAGGCTTTGGCCAGGCTGGTGGCTCCACTGGCTCCTGATACTCAAGGTAAGAGCTGGGAGCTGGGCAGGGGCAGGGGCAGGGAGGGACTGTGACCCCTGTACTCCAGGTCACATCTGTCTTCTACTTGTCTTCATCTCTGTCTCCCTCTTTCTCTTGCTCTGTGTCTCTAATAATCCTTCCATCTAATTCTTTCTCTATTGTGCTACTAAACTCTCCGAGCCTCAACTTCCTGACTATAAAATGGGACAAGGGGGGAGTTTCAAGGAGGCGCAAGTGAGAGAATGCATGTTAGGGGCTGGGTACCTACGAGGGCTCCGTGGCCCGTGGCTGTGCTTGTGATGTGCTTGTGCCTGATGCTGGATGGGGCTCCAATTGTTCTCACACTGTCTCTGTCACTGTCATTGCTCCTGTTTCTCTTTCTGTTCCCCTCCATGCCTCCTGTCCGCCATGTCTTTCTCTGCCTCGTGTCTCAGTCTCTCTAGGTCTCTGTCCTCTGTCTCGATGTGGAAAGTGCACAAGACTGGGAGTCAGGAGGCCTGACTTGCTGTGTGATCTTTGGCAAGTCACTTCCCCTTGCTAGACCTCAATTTCCCAATCTGTAAAATAGGGGTGCTCAGCACCAGCCGCCTTCCTCCCTGCAACCATGGGAGGATCACAAGAAGGTGGTGGAGTGAAGGGGTTTCCTTCCGTGCAGAGGCTGTTGCTGTGGTTTTATTGCTGCCTCAGGACCCGCCTCTCTGTCTCTGTGGGTTTTGGGGTCTCTCTGTGTCTCTGTCTTGGCCTCTCTTTGTCTGCATCTTTGTCTCCCCCACCTGGGTCTCGGCTTGGTATCTCTGAGCCTCACCGGCCCTGCAGGAGCACCTCATTGCCCTCTCCCCCTCAGTGCTGGTCATACCACTAGCGGACAAGGAGGCCGGGGCTGTGGCAGCTGTCATCTTGGTAAGAGCCCGCGTAGGCGGTGGGATGTGGGGAGAGGAGACCACGGGAGGGAGTGGTGGATGGAGCCTGTCTGGGGTGTGTGTGTGTGTGTGTGTGTGTGTGTGTGTGTGAGAGAGAGAGAGAGAGAGAGAGAGAGAGACAGAGGAAGGAGCAAGGGGAAATGGGCGATATGGGAGGAGTTGGGGCATCTCTCACACCCCAGCCTTCTGCCCCAACTTGAATGAGTAGGATGAAGCCATTGGCAATCAGCAGCTTTCTGAGGGGTGTCCAAGCCCCTTCTGGACTCTCAGCCCCCCAGAGGTTAGAAGGCCCAGTCCTTGGCGCAAGCAGCGCTAACTTTGTTCCTCTTTGCGATCCTCTAGATGGGGTGGGGACAGCATCCAGGAGGGCGTGAACAAGTGAAGTGTGAGGAGAGACATTGCAGAGGGATGGATGGACATAAGGACCTGACCAATAGAGACAGTGTGGGAAACTAGCCAGAGATTCGGGGTGGTGGGAGCTGGGGGCCTTGAGGAGAGAAAGCCCGTGGACAGACCAGCCAGACCCAGGGCTGAGGCTGGGTGGAAGACAGGCTGCTAGGCGGGCTTCCTGGAGTGGGTGAGGAAGGAGTATCAGCTGGAAGTGGTGGATGCTCTGCCAGAACCCCAGAACCCCAGAACCCAGGCAGGGCTCCTTCTGCAGCCTCTCTCCAAGTTCCCAGCATTTCTGCTCCGTGGAAGGGGTGGTGGAAGCGCACAGCCTGTGGGGGCAGGATTCTGCCGCTCTTTCAGTTTCTTCTCCTATATGGAGGTGGGGGGGCGGTTCAAACTCCTGTTCTGTCCTAGTGAGCAAAGGATAAGTTCCCCAAATTGCCATTATTGGGGGTCTGCTTCTGTCAAGGGGGCTGCCATTCCAGTAAAGGGCAGGCTTGGGGGCATGGACAGATAAATGAGCAGGTGTTGGTTCCCTGGGGACTCCTCTCCAGCTCATTAAAATGGAATTAAAGGCTTCCCAGGCACCTGACCTTTCTGAGCTGCTGGCGGGAGAGGGCAGTGGGAGTGGGGGACAGCTGAGAGGGGAGGAGAGGGGAAAGGAGAGGAGGAGGACTTGGCTGGGTCTCCTCCACACCCATCTGCCTGACTGAGGGAGATGAGGCCCCTGCTTGGTTTCTCTGAAAGCTGCTCCCCCCACCCCCAGCTTCTGGAATGGATCTGCTGTTGCACAGAGTTCTCAGGGGGCCGCCTCCCCCTCTTCTTTGCTTTCGGTCTGTCCCAGGGCTGGTCAGTTTGGGGGGCACCAAAGTGAGGGGCTATGTGCAGAGGTGGGGGTTGGGAGGCGGTGGCTGGGTCACGCACCTCCTTCCTGCTGAGGGAAAAGGGCCTGGGGTGCCAGGCGCCTAAGAAGGACTTCCTTAGGTTGAGGCTGTGGGGACTGGGTCAAGAGGGAAGCGAGGGGAAGACATTTGGAAGGTTGTTCCCTCTGTGGGCAGAATGCTTGCCACGGGCACTGCTCACCTTGGCTCACTGGTCCAGAGGCGCACACACGTGCATGCATGTGTGTGTGCCTGTGTGTGTGTGTGTGTGTGTGTCTCAGGAATGCTGATGGGATCAGATCATTTTCACTTAACTTACCCAGTAGAACTCTGCTCTCGTCCTTTGGCAGGTTGGGTGCTGGGGCAGACTCTGCCCTCAGGGAGCTCTCAGTCTGGGGGAAGGCAGGGACACCCTTGCCACCATGGGCCAGGTGAAATACTGCTGCCACCAGGTGGTCTGGTGGCAGAGGCTGGGGCAGCAAGTGGTGTCTCGCCATGGAAAGAGCACTTGTGTGGGGCTTTGGGGATGGGTAGGAGGCCCACAGGCAGGGAAGAAGGGAAAGGGGATCCTAGGGAGAGGAGGAATGTGAGCGAGGCAGGAAGGAGGCCAGGGGAAGGGGTGGTGTGCTGGGGGGGAGTGTGGTCCCTGGGAAGCTGAAGTAGGGGTGCATGCTGTGGAGCAGGATGCTAGCCACCCAGGGCTCTGGCCGCCAGGAGAAGTTTTCAACATCCGTCCCTTCCCCTTGTCAAATACCCTGGGCCAGGGAAGAGCTCTTGAAAGATGTTTGGATTATTCACATCTGCCTCTCCTCCAAGCCTGCACCTTCCCACTAATGTGGAAATGCACTTCCCCAGGATGACCCTCCCCAAGGCATACCATCTGACAGATGCTCCCTGGCTCGCATGATCTCACTGCCTCCCAGAGGCAGCACAGCCAGACTTCCCAGCTGCTACCAGATCCTCAGGGCAGAGGGTGCAGAAAGTAGACGGAGTGCCACGGGTAGATCTTTTGGGAAGGCGGAGTCACCAGCTCCTTCCTTGACAAGCCCCATTTCAGGCTCTGAGTCTCTGCTCTTAGTATTCATCCAGTGATCCACCTACCCATCCACCCACTCATCCATCAGTTGGACAACGATTTGAGTACCTACTGTATGCCAGGCATGGTGTGCTAGATGCTGGGAACACAGAAGTGACCAAGACAGATTGGACAGGCCCTGCCTTCACAGACCACAGAAGGGTGGTGGTGGCAAGCACTGAAGTGAGCATAACCCCAGCTACTCGGAAGGTTTAGCTGGGAGTGTTCCTTGAGCTCAGGAGTTCAAATCTGGCCTGGATAACGGGGTGAGACGTCATCTCTAAAAAGCCAAAAATAACTAAAATATTGCAGAAGAAGTGAGCAAAATAAGGAGAGGATCACACATGATGGCAATTGCTAGCAAGGAAACCCCTCGAGGGAGTCCTGCAAAGAAATGCTGGGGCCAGATGGGGCCACAGTCAGTGAGGGCTCTCTGAGGGATATGCTGGCCAGGTGCAGGGCTGTGTGGCTGACTGCTGGGCCTTTACAGCTCGCCACTCAAGGTGCCTTGATTGCAGATTTTTGGGATGGAAAGAGTCTTTGCCTCTGTTCTTCAATCCTAGGATAAGAAGTCCCTTTGAGGAGTGTTGGCCCTTGGTTTCTGGCATTTGACGCCTGATTTGTGCCCATTCTTCCCCCAACTGCACCACCACTCCCTGCACAGGGATGGGTGCTCATGCCATTGGCCATTTTGAACTTGGTGAGGGTGGAGACCTGGGGGCTGTGCTGGGCTTTTTTTTTTTTTTAAGAAAGTTGCATTGTTGTCACCCGTGCTGGACTGCAGTGGTACGGCCTTGGCTCACTGCAACCTCCACCTCCTGGGTTCAAGTGATTCTCCTGCCTCAGCCTCCCAAGTAGCTGATACTATAGGCACCCACCACCATGCCAGGCTAATTTTTGTATTTTTAGTAGAGACGGGGTTTCACCACGTTGGCCAGGCTAGTCTTGAACTCCTGACCTCAGGTGATCCACCCATCTCAGCCTTCCAAAGTGCTGGGATTACAGGCTTGAGCCACTGCTCCTGGCCTTGTGCTGGGCTTTTAACCCTCTCCCACAGCCACAGTACCCTCTGTTGAGTGTTCCCACTGGGCCCTGGACACTTGCCCTGATTAGCAAGAGCAGGTGAAAGTGTGTGTGCCTGTGAGTGAACAAAAAGCCATAAGTGTGTTGGGGTGATTGTGTTTGTATATAGGGGCTCCAGGTGCATGCTCATGGCCCTTGAGTATATGAACTGTTTCCTGTGTATAGGCATGAACTTGCTGTGGACACTGTGAGGCTGGGTGTGTGGATGTCTTTGTGTCTCTGACTGGTCTGTGTGTGTGTGTATGCGCACATGTGTGCAGGTGGGCGTAGGCAGTCCAGGAACTGGTTGCCCCCATAGCCCTAGAGGGGTCCCAACCTTCTCAATTCCTGAGATGTGGGAACCAGGTGGAAGGAACAAGAACCATGTCCTCCTCCATGTGCTAACAGTAAAATGCCAACATATTTATATAAGCCATATGCAAATGAACCATAGCCCCATCTTCTCCGCCCACCAGCCCCCGCTGTCCCGTAGGAGTCACAGATTGAGCCTCATCCAGAGCTTAAGCTTCAGTAGCATTCTTGACAGCTCAGGTCTCTTCCAGGTCTTCCTGCCTCCAATCTTCCTCCCTCAAATTCACCCTACACCCCATAGCCAATGGCCTTCAGGTGCTAACTTCTGCCATGGCTCCCCAGTACTCTCAGGCTAAAGCCTAACTTCTTAGCCTGGCACTCAAGGCCCTTCCTTCTGTGATTCCATGGGCCACACCTCTGCCTGGGTCCTCATCTCCCCACACCACCTACCTCCAGTGTCCTGGTCTCTTCAGGATTTACTTGTTCTCCCCAGGCCAATTCAGGAAGCCTCCCAAACGTCCTCCCCTCTGAGCTACCCACCTAGTTTTCTCCCTCCTTCCTCAGGTATGAGGCGCCACACCTCCTCCCAGTCAAGTCCCCCCCCAACTCATCCCGCCCCAACCCAGACTGTGAGCTTCCCGGGAACCTGCTGGTCTCCTCCTCCCCATCTGCTCCTGGCAGGGGACCCAGAGCTGAGGCAGGCATTGGCTGCTGACTGGGGAGGGAGGAGGGAGGAGGGGCCCCCAGGGCAGGCGCTGTGGGGAGCTCTGCAGGTGGTGACCAGCTTTGAGTAGGCTCCGGAAGCTGGTGACGCAGGTGGGGAGCCTTGCTGGCAGGGCCTATAGTGGGTCCCTAGGCTGCCACGCTCCCTCCCCACCGTCTCTCATTTTCCTCGACAGGCACCCAAGTAGGGGTGGGGGAAGGGACTTCACAGAGTATGAAAGATGGGCTGAGTTCTCTGGTGATGGGCACGGGGACCTTGGAGAGGGACAGGATGATGGGAATGGTGGTGAGGGTGGAGCTGGAGGAGGAAGGTGTGGGCAGAGAGCTTGAGGGAGTGGGTGGTACTGTCTTCGCTCTGCCACTTTCTGCTATGTGATTTTGGGCGAGTCACTCCACTCTTCTGGCCATGGCCCATCTGCCAGGTGGAGGCTTGCATCACAGTGGTGAGAATCACTTGTAAGAAAAAGCATTTGCAACCCATTTATCCATTCACCCATCCTCCTGATGGCAGGTGCATCATACTGAACCATTTCTTTTATCCAAGACTTAGGAGCAGCTCATACCCTAACTCAGAAAGGATAGAGCTGGGAGGCTGAGGCTAATACCTCCAATTCTAAAATCAGAACCACAGGGCTCCATAGGCTGGGAGCTGAAGAGGGGTCTAAGGTCCCTCCATCTCCTGAATCATACACCTTGAACTATGCTCTTGATGAGGCGGTGATTGAAAAGGCAGAGACAAAAAAGTTTCACATTTTTGGGTTAGTCCTAGGAGACTTCCTAGAGGAGGGGATTTTCCTGGAGCTGTCTGCATGGTCAGAAGGAGGGGCTCATCACAGGCTGACAGACTGGGGTGTGTATGTGCTGATGGGGACGGTGTGTGCTGAGCATGGGAAGGGCACTCTGGCAGGGACAGACAATGGGAGAGGTCACAGCTAGTTCCCTTCTCCCCTCCCTCCAGGTGCACTGTGGCCAGCTGAGTGACAGTGAGGAGTGGAGCCTGCAGGCAGTGGAGAGGCATGTGAGTGGGACTGGGGCCATGTAGGATGAGGCTGAAGACCCTTATCACAGCTGGTGGGAAGATGGCCCCGCCAGGGAGTTGGACAGACCTGGGTTTCAGCTTCAGCTCTGCCGCTTTAGAGCTGTGTGACCTTGAGCAAGTCGCTAAACCTCTCTGAGCCTCAGTTTCACACCTCAACATGGGGATAATGATAGCACTGACTGACTTAGGGCAGTGGTGAGAAAAAAACTGTTCAAATACCTTATAAATACACACGGTTGCCAACTTAAAAGGTCTCGACTTTTCGATGGATTTATGGGGAAGCAACCCCTCCTAAGTTCTGGAGATAGAAAGAGCCCTCCACCTAATAATACTGAGCCTCTTTCCTGCCTGAGATTGTATGATTTTGTGACTTTAACAAGGACTTACGACTCCCTGAGGGGGCTGGAGACAAATCTGACATCTTGTCTCGGAAGAATCTAGGGGCTAGGGTTGGAGATAGACCCTGTGCTTTCCTGTTCCTGGACCGGCCGACGCTCCAGGGGCAGCGGGAGCCCTCGGGGGAGCCCTCAGGAAGGTAGAGTCCAGGGCTGAGATGTTTGGGACGGCGGCGGGGTCCATGGGCCCCGCAGGCAGAGGGAACGGCGGGAGCAGAGGCAGGAGTCCCGCAGCGGCGAGCGGCACGCTGACCGCTCGGCCTGCCCCAGACCCTGGTGGCCTTGCGGAGGGTGCAGGCCCTGCAGCAGCGCGGGCCCAGCGAGGCTCCCCGAGCCATCCAGAACCCTCCGGAGGGCGCGGCGGAAGACCAGAAGGACGGGGCGGCTTATACCGACCGCGACCGCAAGATCCTGCAACTGTGCGGTGAGGGCACTGCCTGGGCAGGTCCCGAGGGCGGGGCCGGGCGGGACTTGGAGGGGAGGTGGGCGGGTTGGGCGGTCCCAGGAGCCGGCCGGGGCCAGGCGCATGCTGGGCGGTGCCCGAGGGACCCGGCCACGGAGGTGGGGAGGGGCCCTCTCTCTGACCCGCGCCCGGCCCTTGCAGGGGAACTCTACGACCTGGATGCCTCTTCCCTGCAGCTCAAAGTGCTCCAATACGTGAGTCCCTGCGCCCCTCCCGGCCATCTCCCCGTCCTCCGGGGACCAGTGTCCCCTTGAGCCCTCCGTCTCAGTTCCAGTTACGATGCCCCTTCCCCTCTCCTCCGCCCGCCTGAAGAGCCCCGAGGAGGGGAGCGGGTGGGGAGTGGGGTGGCCCGGACTCGCGGTCAGACCCTCGCCCTGCCTCCCTCCCTCAGCTGCAGCAGGAGACCCGGGCCTCCCGCTGCTGCCTCCTGCTGGTGTCGGAGGACAATCTCCAGCTGTCTTGCAAGGTGAGGGCCCAGGTCCACAGTGGAGCGGGGCGGGGCTGGCGAGGCACTCCGGTAAACGAGGGGGAAGTCCCTCGCCTTTCCTTTAACCCGGCCCTGCACTCTGTTCCTCAGGTCATCGGAGACAAAGTGCTGGGGGAAGAGGTCAGCTTTCCCGTGAGTGCCGCGTCTTCCTGTTCGAGTCTGCAGGGGCGATTGAGGCCGGGTAGACACTCCTGGGATCTTCCTGGAGTATTTGGATCCTCTAGATTCTTGGAATCTGTTGGAATTATCTGGATCTTGGGATCTACTTAGAAATGCTGCAGCGATCCTAACCTGTGATTATTAGGCTCTATTACGAGGAATCTCTTAGCATCTACAGAAAGGCTTACCTGGGGCCTGTTCATTTCTGTTGGAGTATTTCTGGATATGTATCTGCTGGACTCAGTTGAGGAGAATCCTGGAGTCTGCTTCTCTCTCGCGCAGTTAGGGAAGACCCTACAGCCCTGTATAGTGAATTCTGCTGGACTCCCCTCCATCCCTCCTCCTCAGTGCTGACCCCATCCACCATTTGGACTGACTGAAGAGTTCTTTGAAACTTTCAGACTTGAGGGTGGGGACAGGTTGAGATTGCCTGACCTGGGAGTGCTGGCCCTGACTCAGTCTCTCCTCACCCTCTAGTTGACAGGATGCCTGGGCCAGGTGGTGGAAGACAAGAAGTCCATCCAGCTGAAGGACCTCACCTCTGTAAGTCATGGCCTGGCTGACCCAGAGGGGAAAGGGGAGACCCCACTGCCCAGCCCCCAGAGCCAAGGTCTCTGTTATAGAGCAGCCCAGGATTGGAGGAGACAAGACCTGGGGACTTTCAACTATCCCATCTCCATGTCACAGAGCTTCCACCTTGCATGAGTCCCTTAGAACTGCCCATTGCCAAATGTGATGGAGGGCTGGAGGAGGGAAGCGTGCTCCCCTCTCCTTCCCTGCTCTGATCTGCCTCTCCTTTGCAGGAGGATGTGCAACAGCTGCAGAGCATGTTGGGCTGTGAACTGCAGGCTGTGCTCTGTGTCCCTGTCATCAGCCGGGCCACTGACCAGGTGGTGGCCTTGGCCTGCGCCTTCAACAAGCTAGAAGGAGACTTGTGAGTCTTTGTGGGATGATGCAGATCAGGAGATGTCACTGAGAGGCTGGCTAGAGCTCCACTAGGGTGGCAGTGGAGGAAGGGTACTGGGCAGGGGCTACTGTCTCAGCAGCAGTGGGGTTGAAGTTTGTTAGTGCAAGAGAATGAAAGTCATGTTGAGGTCCAAGCTGGTTCCCCTTCTCTTCCTCTACTTCCTGAAGTTTGGGTTATCTGGTTTTGGGGTATTGACCTCCCCACCTTCCCATCCCTGTTTCTTCATTGCTGCTAGAAACTGCTAGATGGAGGGGTGGGTGCAGTCTGGGCTGGGTGAACCCTCTGGGACCCACAGAGCATTATCAGCACAGTGGACAGTGGCCAAAGGGAATATGCTTGGGGACTGGGAAAAGCTGTGGATCTTTTGAGCCCCTGATAGGCAGCTATAAAGAGAGGTGGGCAGGGCACAGTGAACAGGGAAACAGATTTTGAGGCTCAGCTGGGAAGCATATCTCAAGAACTGAGGTCAAACCTGGGGTCTACAAGTGGTGTTATAAGTAAATTTCATGTCCTGCACCAGCTCATGAGCTGGCAGTAGGCGCCCGATTTTTATTGCGAATGGATCTTAGTCAGTGAGAAACAGTGCTGCATCTGATGAGCCGTTTCTGTCCAGGGTGCAGGTTCATGCCTGGGCTGGCAGGACAAGCAGTTTGTGCTGTGTCACCATCACACAGGTGGGGAGAAGTAGACAGATGAGGGGCTGAGTCCTGATGCAAAGAGACGTTGATAGGATGTTCCCCTCTGGAGTCCAAGCAAGCAGGCTGGGCTTCAAGGCCTGGATCTCCTGCAGGAGGTGGACACTAAAGAGCCTGGGACTAGGGAGGTGTCAGAGCCCAGTCCTGAGGCCTGCTGGAGTAGGGTGGAGACCAAGGAGTCCTAGTTCTAAGCTGCAGGACCTACCAGCATGGAATTGTGTGAACAGTTGGGTGGGCCTGGGGAAATGAAGATAGGAACAAGGCAGAATCCACTGAGGCAGAAGACTGTTGGATTGGTGGCATTTGGAACTTGTAGGTATCCTAGTGGTGGGAGAATTTATGACATTCAGCAAGCAGATATTGAGCACTTAATGTTGCCATCCCAGTGCTGAGCAGATGGCCTTGGGAAGGCCTTTGGGGAGGGGAAGGCAGAATGAATGGGGGACCAGCAGGACCATGACCTCTCACTGCTGGCTGTGGGATTGGGTTCTAGGATGGCCCCAGAGCTGGAGGAGAGGTGGTATCAGGAGGAAAACAAGACTGGGCCTTGGTGATGGCCCTGAGGTCCAGCACAGGGGCAAGGCCATCTCTGGGTCCCATGCATTTCAGGGGGTGGGTGTTGAATGATTACATGAGCCAGGGTGGGGCTTAGCTCAGTGCAGTAACTGCAGAGAAGCTTCCTGGAACACAGCTAAGTAGTCAGAGAACATGGGCTCCAGAAGCCTGTCAGCTGTGAGCAGGATTGGGCTGGTGGCAAGGCCAGGGATAGGATACAGTCACGACATCAGCAAAGACCTCCCAAGTGTTTGTACCGGGCTCTGAACTGGGCATGGGGTGATATAGTCATGGCCGCATCTCATAAGACTCGAGGCTCATTTTCAGGGCATAGAGGGAGGAGAGTGGGAAGGGTATTCTAGGATGAGGGAACAGTGTAGAGAAAAAGCACAAGGGTGTGAAAGAACCCGAGATTTTCTCAGAATGATGAGGATCTTTGTGTGGCTGAAGCTGAGAGATGTCCAGGGTTGAGGGGTGAGAGGTGGTGGGGGAGGGGCTAGCTGGAGGCTCTCAAATGAAAGGAAGGTGTGCAGACAGAGCCAGGGCGATGGGGCTGGATCTAGACCTGAATCACCAGATGGCAAGCATGAGTGGGGGATGCCCCACCAGGCGGAGCACCAAGCCCAGCCTATAAAAGGGGAAGGGCTTAGGCAGGGAAACCTGGGGGCAGTGTGATGTGAGCTGAGGCAGGCTCCCTCCCCTCGTGACCCCCACCATTGGTCCACCCAGCCCCATGCAGCTCCCCAGTGACAAATAATTTGGAGGCCAGATTGAATGACCTGAGCAGGCTTTGGGGCTGACCTTGTCACATCAGAGCTAGCTACATGAGCAGGGCCAGCGGATTTCTAGAGGCCCCAAATCAGGGCCAGTGGAGTCCAGGGAGAGTGGAGTAGTGACAGGAGCTGCACAAGATGGGGCAGTGGCACTGCCACTCCCCAAGGCTGGAGGCATGCCTGGGTAAGCACAGGAGAAAGCCAGCTTGAGCCTGAGCAGTCTCTAGTCCGAAGGAGGAGACTCAGCTTTGAGCTGGGTAAATCCCAAATCAGAGTGGGGAGGTATGGCTCTGGTTTCAAGCATCTAAGGAAGACTGGAGCCCTCCCCTCAGGGAGCTGCCAATCTGCATGGGTGTGGGAGCAGGAAGCTGTTCCAAGGGCCTGTGCAGTGGTTATACAGTTGGCAGGTGGGCACCCCCGTGGGCTTCTGGTGGAACAGAAAGGAGAGTGGGGAGAGGAGCCGGTTTTCCCTTCCCTCCTGGGTCAGCTCGCTCCTCCTCCAGGTTCACCGACCATGATGAGCACGTGATCCAGCACTGCTTCCACTACACCAGCACGGTGCTCACCAGCACCCTGGCCTTCCAGAAGGAGCAGAAGCTCAAGTGTGAGTGCCAGGTGAGTGACCGGCCTTGAGCCTCTATCAGGCACCGACTCGCCCAGCTTTCAGCCCCAGAGAGCCACTCACAAGGGAAATGCCCATGTCTTTCTAGACCTGTGGCAGCACTTCCCCAGGTAACGGTAACTAATGTCTTGGAGGCTTAAGAGGAAGGCCTGCAGTTGCTCAGGACCTGCACCACTGCCAGCAGGCACTGTGTGTGATCGCCCTCTAGTGTTCAACCTGGGCACTACAGCAACACCCAGGCAGCTAGAGCTGGCATGAAGGCAGCTGAGACACCCAGGAGACTCCTCACCTGCCCCTGGGCTATTCCCTTACTCCTTCACTTAGTAGCCAAATGACACTGACAGTTTCCGGCTTGTCTGGTGAGCCCTAGGGGATGAAGAAGATCTGGGTGCTGTTGGAGGCAGGGCATGAGATAGGATGACCCCTGCACCCCGACCCCCTATCATCTCCATTTCTTTCATTCCAGGCTCTTCTCCAAGTGGCAAAGAACCTCTTCACCCACCTGGGTGAGTGCACTGTTCTCCTCTATGCCCAGATGTGGGGTGGGCATGGGGGCTGGGATTTGCAGAGAAGAGGTGGGAGGGCTTGGCCTCAGCACTGCAGCCTAGTCTCACCATGCCTGGTCTTCTCCCTCCCCCAGATGATGTCTCTGTCCTGCTCCAGGAGATCATCACAGAGGCCAGAAACCTCAGCAATGCAGAGATGTGAGTGAATCTACCCAGGGGATGGGGCAAGATAGGCTGTGACCCTCAGTTCCCTTCATCTCCTTTCCTGCCCCTCCCTTTTCCTTCTCTGCCTTCTGAGGGACCTCATCACCTTTTGAGAGATCCTTTATTTCATGCCTGTCTCCACTAGACTGAAAGCTCCAATGACAGCAGGGACAGGGCTGGCTTTGGATCCCCAGCTCCTGTCACAGTGCCTGGCACATAGTAGGTGCTTCAAAAAAAAAAGCACTGGAATGGACACGTTTCTGGAGCCAGCTAGCCCTGAGCAGAGTGTCTCACCTTGGAACACTCCTCCCAGGCCTCGGAAGTCCGCCCTTTGCCTCCTTATAGGAGGTGGGGGCGATCAGAGGAGGTTGTCAGGCCGCAGAGGACCAAACCCCCTCCCCCCACAGCTGCTCTGTGTTCCTGCTGGATCAGAATGAGCTGGTGGCCAAGGTGTTCGACGGGGGCGTGGTGGATGATGAGGTGAGCGGATGTGGCGGGAAGCTGTGGCCCTAGGGTGTCCAGGAGTCCGCCGGGGGCGCTGGGGAGCGGCCCGACGTTTAATAGTCCCCTTTGTGGCCAGGTCACTAACTTCTTCCTTTCAACTCCATCTCTGCCCCGGCAGAGCTACGAGATCCGCATCCCCGCTGACCAGGGCATCGCGGGACACGTGGCGACCACGGGCCAGATCCTGAACATCCCGGACGCATATGCCCACCCGCTCTTCTACCGCGGCGTGGACGATAGCACCGGCTTCCGCACGCGCAACATCCTCTGCTTCCCCATCAAGAACGAGAACCAGGGTGCGCGCTGGCAGCTCGGGCGAAGGCGAGGGGCTGCGGCTGAGGGGCGGGGCTGGGGCGGGGCCTGTACGAGGCGGAGCCGGTCCCGGCGCACCGGGTGGGCAACCCCTCCCCAACTCCTCCGGCATCCGAGAGCAGAAGGGAGTCGGGTTCCTTGCCTGGGACGTCACCTGCGGAAACTGCGAGGACTGGTCCCTGCCGGATCCCTCCCTCCACCGGACCCCCACTCCACCGGTGGTTCCTTGCCCCTCTCCCTTCCCCAGAGGTCATAGGTGTGGCCGAGCTGGTGAACAAGATCAATGGGCCGTGGTTCAGCAAGTTCGATGAGGACCTGGCGACGGCCTTCTCCATCTACTGCGGCATCAGCATTGCCCATGTGAGGGCGGGGTGGGAGTGGGATGTAGGGCGATAGGGGCGGGGCCCACGCGGGACCCCCGGTTCTCCTCCCCGACTGGCTCCCCTTGCTGATCCCTTGGTTTGGCACTCAAAGTCCCACTGTTGGGGTGCTGTGAAGCCTTCAGGATACGCTGTCCACCTCTGGGCTCAGTTTCCCATCTAAAAATTGGGGATACAATTTCCTGCAGTGTCCACTCAGCCTCCCATGACCAAGAGAAACTCCCGTTGTCAAAACCTCCTTCCTTCCCTAGAAGCAGTCTCAACCCAAGCCAGGAGCTTTTTTGGAAATGCTGGGTCTCGGTGTCCTGGCCTGCTGGTGCTCTGGCCTGGGAATCCAGCCCCAATGTCCCTAACATGATTCCCTCCTTGCTTCTCCTTGGCTCTGGGGGTGCAAAGGGCCAGACTGCCAGGAGGACTTGGTGAGGAGGAACGGGTGGGGCAGGGTGTCTGGAAGAAAGTGAGGATAGGGTCTTTACTCTGGACTGGAGCTTCAAGGTTTTGACTGGGGCCAGAATCAGACAGAAAGTGGGGTATCTTTCTGATCCCTTTTCCCAGTCCAGGGCATTGCCAAGATTTCACAGCCAGCCTCCTTGATCCCCATCTTCCCTTTCTCCCCCAGTCTCTCCTGTACAAAAAAGTGAACGAGGCTCAGTATCGCAGCCACCTGGCCAACGAGATGATGATGTATCACATGAAGGTGAGGCTTGCAAGGACCTCTAGTTCTCCTTCCAGATTCTCCGAGAACCCAGGGCCAGGTGGGGCTTCCTGATGGATCTCTACTGAGGATAGGCCCAGAGCCACAGCAGGCCTCCTGCCCTCCGTAGGGGCAGCTCCCACCTCTGCTTACAGACCTCTCCTCCAAGCTGCTTCTGAGCTCAGTCCCAAGGCTGGAAGTAGCCAGAGGACCCAGCCCAGGGAATAACTTGTTTGAGCCAGATATTCCCCATGTTCAGGGAATAATTCTCATTTCGGGAATTCCTGAGGGTGAGGAAGCTCTCCCAGCACCTGCCCCCATGGCTTTTCTAGGTACAATGGCCATGCAACCCTGGGCAGTCCTAATTGCTGATATTCCCTCTCATTCCCAGACCCTGGTCTGGGAAAAACTGGCTGACACTGTTCATTTGGACATTTCCTCTCACTTGTGTCCAAACCAGAGAGGCCCAGACCTTGTGAGCTGGATCAAAACTGTAGTAGGAAGAGTTGGGGTTAGACAGTAGGAAGGTCCCCACAAAAGGAGAACTGGTAGGGTTACCGTGTATGAAATGCTGCTCTGGTTTGGGGGTGTCGTGAAGGGGTGTTCCCCATCTTTGCCAAGGTTAGGTTGTTATGGATAAAGGGTGGTCACCTGCAGGGAGGCGTGTGGGGTGGGCTGCAAGGCTGTGAGGGGAGGGTGGTGATTTTCTGCCCAATGACAGTCCACAGTGTGGTGGCCCAACTGTGGCATTCTTGATGATGGATTCCCCACCTGTTGTGGGAATTTGAGGGTGAAGACACCAGATGGGGTAAAGGCTGTCTTCTAATGCCCTGACTGGTCTCCGCTAGGTCTCTGATGATGAGTACACCAAACTTCTTCATGATGGGATCCAGCCTGTGGCTGCCATTGACTCCAACTTTGCCAGTTTCACCTATACCCCTCGTTCTCTGCCCGAGGATGACACGTCCATGGTGAGCTGCTCTCCTCTACTTGACTGGTGAGGCCAAGGGTGTGTAGCCAGAGGCTTCAATTAAATGTGAGGCTTCAGTTAAATGTGCGTGAAGAACTTCCTGGTAAGACAGAGTCATCAAGGAAGGCTGTGGAGTGTCCCTCAGAGATGGAGGAGCATGTAGTCTGCCATCATGAGGCTAGGGGGCCTGCCCAGGGGCTAGGGGCTGGACCGGATGATCCCAAAAGCCACTCTTGGACCATTAATGCCCAGGGCATGTGACCTCAGGGTTTGCATCCACCCCACCAACCCCATTTTTCTAAGATTTTGTGTGGGCTTGGTTTCAAGAGTTCTTAGTCCTTAGATCTCTTGGATTTCTAAAACTTTGTAGCTCTGAGAATGGTTGCTTCAATTATTGTGTGGTTCTCTAGTTTAGATTTAAGTTTCTATGACTCCAGATTTTGAGTGTGGAGCTTGAAGAAGGGCCCAGGCAGGGGCCCTATCTTGATATTGGCAGCGTCTCTGATCCCTCCCTCTGTCCTCTCCAGGCCATCCTGAGCATGCTGCAGGACATGAATTTCATCAACAACTACAAAATTGACTGCCCGACCCTGGCCCGGTTCGTCCACATGCAGACAGCCCATCTTCGCCTCCCTCTCTCCTCCGCTGTCACATCCATTGCCCCTGGCATTCTTGAGAGGCTCTCTCTAAGGATGACTAGGGAGACCTAGTCTTATGGGGATGGGGAGGATCCACAAGTGAGAAGCAATTCCTAGACACCAAACTGTCAGTAAAGGCAAGAAATGGGGTAGCGCAGAGCCTGGAGGCGAGGCTGAGTGTGCAGCCAGAGATTTAAGTTAGATGTGCATAAGAACTTGCAGCTAAGCAGAGTCATCAAGGAAGGCTATGGAGGCTCCCTCAGGGAGGTGGGGGGAAATGCAGTCTACCATCACGGGGTTATAATAGAGGAGGAGAGGCTGAGGGCCCTCTGCTGCCCTCTCCCCTCCCCCAGGTTCTGTTTGATGGTGAAGAAGGGCTACCGGGATCCCCCCTACCACAACTGGATGCATGCCTTTTCTGTCTCCCACTTCTGCTACCTGCTCTACAAGAACCTGGAGCTCACCAACTACCTCGAGTGAGTGGCTGCATCTCCCCCACATCTAGCAGCTGCTGGGATCCCCTTACCTGGGACAGGGAAGCATCCCCCTGTGTGTCAGGCATGTTACACGCACCGCCTCATGAGAGCGTCTTAGCCCCAGGGGACTAGAGGGGAAGGCTGCATGCCCCATCTTCCGGGAGGGGTTTGCTCACAGTCTTGCAGCCAGTGAAGATTGAGCCTGATTTAAACTCAGGTCTGCTGGACTCCAAACCAGTGCATCTTTCCAGGAAGGGAACCCAGCTGTCCCAGCTTCCCATCCCAGTGGCTCCTGGGCACGTCATTCAGCTGTCTCTCCTCTGAGGAGTTTGGGGAGGGTGTTGTCTGACCTCTTTTTTTTTTCTCTTTTTTGCCTCCCAACCAGGGACATCGAGATCTTTGCCTTGTTTATTTCCTGCATGTGTCACGACCTGGACCACAGAGGCACAAACAACTCTTTCCAGGTGGCCTCGGTGAGACCCTGCCCTGCTTACAGTGGGGACCCTCCATGTGGTGTCTGAGAGTCTCATCCTCTCCCGGCCTGAAGACAGGTGGGAGCGAGTGAGACCAGGAGCCAGGTTTAGAGACAGGAGGAGGTTCCCGCAGGGTTTGCCCTGTGCTCTGAGATAGGGAGGAGGGAGAAGGGTGGGAAGGGCAGGACACTGCTTACCCTAAAGCAGTGACACTTGGATCCGGATGTGAGGAGTGACCACAGCTTTCCTGGGCTTTTCCAGAAATCTGTGCTGGCTGCGCTCTACAGCTCTGAGGGCTCCGTCATGGAGGTATCACTCTTCTGTCCCATCCCCACCCTCCTTTCCATTTAAGGCCAGTGACTTGCAAAGTAAAAATGGGACCCAGCTCCTCCCATTCCCAAACCATGCTCTTCAGACAGGCTGTGAGAGCTGTAGCCACACCTAGGACGCGTCTGGCTCATTTTCCTGGGGTGGGCTTGGAAGGGTGCAGGTGCGGATGGTAGCAAGGATTTGTGTTCAGTGCATTTCCCTTTGGCTGTCTGGGAGCCCCATGCAGCCCGCTCCTGCCAAGCTTGGGATGGGCTTCACTCCCATCACTTGGCATCACCTTAGATTGTTTGGTTTGGGTCTGCCCACCTCTGCATGCACAAGGTCTGAGCCATTTCTGAGTTCCCTGCACTTGGCACAGGGCTTGGCACAGAGCAGGAGACACATTTCCAAGGTCACCTTACTCCAGAGGCTGCCCCTGCTTGCACACCCCAAGAGAGACAAGGCTCTCCCAGGAGGGCTGGTGGCAATGCTAGTTCCACCCTCTGCCCTCTGGGATAAGCTGCTCCTCTTCTGAGTGACAGCCCTTCAGCGTCTGGAAACAGGGCCTTGCCCTCGCCTCATCACTGCCTCTCCTTGTCAGCAAACAAGTGTGTTCTGCATGATTTAATGTCTAGGACTCCAAGGGATCATTTCAAAATGTTCCAGCTTTCGAGGACCCCAGAGCTTACCTTGCTGCATCCCTGCATGTGACAGCTGAGGAGTCAGGCTCAGAGTGGTCTAGGGACTTGCCCTGGATCAGACAGAGGGCTGAAACAGAGCTCAGGAAGGGAACTGGGGCCCCTGACCCCCTCTTTCTGCCTGCTCTGCTGACCTTGGGGTTGGAGCTGGACCAGGCCCTGCTTCCTCTCTTGGGGTCAGTGGGAGGGGAGCCCCTCTGCCGCAGCCGGGCCCCCATCACTCCTCTCCCCACAGAGGCACCACTTTGCTCAGGCCATCGCCATCCTCAACACCCATGGCTGCAACATCTTTGATCATTTCTCCCGGAAGGTGATGGGGTCGAGGGTGGGGGTGGCGAATGAGGGGAAGCTGGGAGCTGGCTGGAGGCGGGAGAAGGAGTGGAGGCTCACTGGGATGGGCAAAAGTGTGGGAGTGTCCAGCAGGAGGCCATGATGTTCCTGCCCTCACCCCAGGACTATCAGCGAATGCTGGATTTGATGCGGGACATCATCTTGGCCACGGACCTAGCCCACCATCTCCGCATCTTTAAGGACCTCCAGAAGATGGCTGAGGGTGACTGCTATTAGCCCCAGGCCTCAGGGCTGGGGAGGAACAACTAGGGGGAGGATTTCCCAGGGGAACATTCCCAGGGGTGCAGACCCATCCCCTGCAGCATCAACCCTTCTCTGGCTGCACGGCCCCACCAGGCAGACCCAGCACTGGCCCCTTGGTTCCCATCAGGAGTGCCCAATTCCTTGGACCACTCTGGGGTGGGCCCTGGGAGACTTGTCCTCAGAAGGTCAAGGAGTTCCCTAGTTCGCTCCTTGACCCCACCCTCCCCCCAACAGTGGGCTACGACCGAAACAACAAGCAGCACCACAGACTCCTCCTCTGCCTCCTTATGACCTCCTGTGACCTCTCTGACCAGACCAAGGGCTGGAAGACCACGAGAAAGATCGCGGTAGGTGCTGTCCTCCCTGGGAAGGCACAGGCTGCCCACCCTGCCTGGCTCTGGGTGCCTCCTGCAGCCTGAACACCTTCTCTTTGCTCAGCTCAGCCTGGCTATGTTCTGGGGAGACAGAAACCTAGACCATCTCAGGGTGGCAAATGGAGACTCAGAGAGGGGAACTGACCTAACAAGTCAGTGGCTGGTGGAAGATGGGCCCCAACCCAGCCACTCCTTCCTGGCTGGCTGGGGCTGGTGGGGACGGCTCCTGACCTGGGACTGAATCACTGGGCCTCAGTTTTCTCTCCTGGGAATGGGCTGTCAGAGGAGCTTGGGTGCAGGATGTGATGAGTGTGTTGGCCTTTCAGGAGCTGATCTACAAAGAATTCTTCTCCCAGGGAGACCTGGTATGTGTGGAGTCACCCCAGGATGTCCAGGTTGGGGGAGGGTTCCTGGCCTGGGGCTGGGAGGGCTTGGGTTAGCCTGACCCTAGTACCTGATGGAGGAATGAGAGGGACAGGCCTGACGACTTGATGCCTGCAGGAGAAGGCCATGGGCAACAGGCCGATGGAGATGATGGACCGGGAGAAGGCCTATATCCCCGAGTTGCAAATCAGCTTCATGGAGCACATTGCAATGCCCATCTACAAGTGAGTGAGCTCAAAGGGACAAGCTGGCGCCCTACACAGAGAGGGTGGGCTGGAACGGGGACATCACAGCAAACACAGGTGCTGAGGTTGGCCTGGTCCAACTCCAACTGATTCAATCCCTGCCTCTGGGCACAACTGCTGCCTGCTGTGCCCCTCAGTGGGCCCTTCACTTCATCCTTGGGCCTCAGTGGAAAGAGACCATCATGCTTTCCTGGGTGCCCAGTCCTATGCCTCACACTCTTGTGGAAGTTTTTTTTTTTTTTGAGGTGGAGTCTCATTCTATTTTCTAGGCTGGAGTACAATGGCATGATCCTGGCTCACTGCAATCTCTGCCTCCTGGGTTCAAGCGATTCTCCTCTCAGCCTCCTGAGTAGCTGGGATTACAAGCTGCCACCAGCCTGGCTAGATTTTTTTTTTTTTTTTTTTGAGATGGAGTCTCGCTCTGACACCAGACTGGAGTGCAGTGGCACCATCTTGGCTCACTGCAAGCTCCGCCTCCCGGTTCAAATGATTCTTCTGCCTCAGCCTCCTGAGTAGCTAAGACTACAAGTGCACACCACCGCACCCGGCTAATTTTTGTATTTTTTAGTAGAGACGGGGTTTCACTATGTTGGTCAGGATGGTCTCGATCTCTCGACGTCATGATCCATCTGCCTCGGCCTCCCAAAGTGCTGGGATTACAGGCGTGAGCCACTGCACCCAGCCAATTTTGTATTTTTAGTAGAAATGAGGTTTCACCATGTTGGTCAGGCTGGTCTTGGACTCCTGACTTCAGATGACCTGCCCGCCTCAGCCGCCAAAGTGCTGGGATTACAGGTGTGAGCCATCATGCCGGCCCTTGTGGAAGTTCTGTGTTGTGTAGCCCTCTTCTTTCTTGCTGCCCATGGTCTGATTTCTACCTGTCGTCCTGCCCCTTTACACCCACAGGCTTTTGCAGGACCTGTTCCCCAAAGCAGCAGAGCTGTATGAGCGTGTGGCCTCCAACCGTGAGCACTGGACCAAGGTGTCCCACAAGTTCACCATCCGCGGCCTCCCAAGCAACAACTCGCTGGACTTCCTGGATGAGGAGTACGAGGTGCCTGATCTGGATGGCACTAGGGCCCCCATCAATGGCTGCTGCATTGATGCTGAGTGATCCCCTCCAGGGACCCTTCCCGGCCCAGGCCACCTCCCACAGCCCTCCACTGGCCTGGCCAGATGCACTGGGAACAGAGCCACAGGTCCTGGGCCCTAGACCAGGACTTCCTGTGTGACCTGGACAAGTACTACCTTCCTGGGCCTCAGCTTTCTCATCTGTATAATGGAAGCAAGACTTCCAGCCTCACAGAGACTTTGTAATTTGTCCTCTGAGAGCTCAGGGCTGACCAATGAGCAGTGGGCCCTGCTCTGCACCTCTGATCACACCTTGGCGAGTCTTTCCCAAGCCATTCTTTGTCTGAGCAGCTTGATGGTTTCTCCTTGCCCCATTCCTGCCCCACCAGATCTTTACTCCTTTCCCTTGGGGGATTCCCACCCCTTGGGGTCTTCAGGATCCTCATGGAAGTGGAAGGTGAGACATCTGAGTGAGCAGAGTGTGGCGTCTTAGAAACAATCCTTAGTTCTATGGGAGGACTAGAAACAGCCTCGGGGTGAAAGCCCCCTGAGGACCACCACTATACTGACGGTGGGATTGGGACCTGGGGCTATGGGGGCCCCAGGAGAAACCTGCCAGAGGGGCAGCTCAATGCTCTGTGGAGAGGGGGCTTGGGAAGAAGGCATGATGGGGTTGATGGGCAGGAGGAATCCCCATACTGGGAAACAGGCCCAGGTATGAGCCAGCCTTGCTTCCTCTGGCCTGTGTGATGCTGGGCAAGTCTCTTCGCCTGTCTAGGCCAAACAGGAGGCTGAGACAATCCATGCTCTAAGATCCATTTGAGATCAATGTCTAAAATAGCTCTGTAGCTCTGCGGAGTCCCAACAGAGGCTGTGGAATGTTTCTGCCACCCTAGGGCACAGAGAGCCCAACCCTGCATCCCTCAGAGCCCCCTGTGTCCCTCAGAAGCCCCCCCCCCTTGGCCTGAGCCCCTTCCCCATTCCTGCAGCCAGTGAGAGACCTGGCCTCAGCCCTGGCAGGGCTCTCTTTTCAAGGCCATATCCACCTGTGCCCTGGGGCTTGGGAGACCCCATAGGGTCAGGACTCTTGGGTCAGCCCGGCCACTGGCTTCTCTTTCTCCGTTTTGTTCTGTGTGCGTTGTGGGGTGGGGGAGGGGGGCCACCTGCCTTACCTTTCTGAGTTGCCTTTAGAGAGATGTGTTTTTCTAGGACTCTGTGCAACTGTCGTATATGGTCCCGTGGGCTGACTGCTTTGTACATGAGAATAAATCTATTTCTTTCTATCAGTCCTCCCCCATGGGGCTGTTTGCAGACTTTGTGCTTGGGGTGGGTGAAGAGCAGATTAGAACTGGAAGAGGCAAATGCTCTTTGGAACTCTGTGGCTTCCCGAGTCCCCCACCCTTGGTGCCTAGTCCCTCTTCTGGGAGAGTCATTTAGACCTGTTGGGGTACTCCCTGGGCTAGCCCTGCACAGATTGTGGAAGCTAAGGGGTGGGTGGCAGATGAGAAGGCCTGGCCAGGGAGCAGTGATGGGAATGTTGGCTGGCAGAGATTGTGGAATAGATGGAAAACTGAGAGGTAGAAGCAAGCAGGTAGGCTGCCTGGAGGAGGTAGCCTGAAGCTTGTCCTAGACTTTCCCAGTGCTGGCCTGCCCTGGTCATGAGTGCCCATATGGCAAGGGCCGGGGCCTCTGAGCCCTGTTCCTAGCTGCAGTGATGCCTGTGTACGATGATCTGTGTCCCAGCAAGTCCCACATCCCAGTTTCTCTGAGTCCTGTCGAAGGGCCACCCCTGAGTCGGACTCCACATCAGACCCAGCCCCGAGTTGTGCCTGAGGAGTTAGTCCCTGCTTTCCTCCATGTATGAGTGTTTGCTTCCGCCCAGTCTAAGATGGGCAGACTCCAGTCTGGGGCCACAAAGTGGCTCTGCCTGGCAGTCTCCAGGCCCTGTCCCCGACTTACCTACCCCTGTCTCCCTGTTCATTTCTTCCTAATCAGTAAAGGTGGTGTATTGAGAGGGCGGGCACTGAGGTCTCCTTTCTTGGTGAGAGCAGGAAAGAGATGGACGGGGCCATCTTGTGACCATCAGCCATTGCCAGCCTTGCCTTTGGGACCACAAAGCCCCTCTGCTTCCTCTGCAGCTCCCCCTAAGCCTCCAGCCTGTCTGGGTTTGGAATCTGCTCCTCTGGCTGAATGGTCTCCAGGTCTCCAGGCTCCTCCCCCTCCCGGCTCCTGCTTTGGGCTCCCCAAGTCTGTTTCTACCCTCTCACAGCACAGGACCCAGGCTTGGCCAGTGAGTCCGCAGCTGGGGGTGGGAGTGGTCAGTTCATGGACCAAGGCCAATAAGAGATGGCTCTTCTAATGGTGCCTAGCTGACCCCAGGGTCACTGTGGGCTGATATAGCTGCTCTTCTGCCTGACCCCTAACCCTGAGTGTGTTTGTGTGTTCGTCTTCCATAAGCCTTAGGGGGACCTTGACCCTGCATCTGCTGTCTGCCCCCAGCCCAACCCTCCTTTGAGGCCCATTCTGTGACACATCCTGTTTTTCAGCAAATGGAGGGAGCAGCCACATTTATTTCCCTGTGAATGCAAGGCCCTGTGCTAGGGCCGAGGCTGACTTTGTCTTTGTCCTGGCCTGGAGAGTCTCACAGTTTGATTGGAGAGAGAGATCCAAACTCAGATGCAGGCCGCGAGAGCACTGTGGGGTGCCCGCCATGGGGCTCCAGGCAGGATCAGAACCCTGAGAACAACAGTGAGGCTTGAAAGATGAGCAGATGTTGTTTTCCTACAGGCAAAAGGCGACAGGCACTCCTGCCTGGTTAAAGAAACCGCTTTTGCAAAGGCCCCGAGAAGGGAAGGGACTGGCAGCTGGAGGAGCTGAGGGGTGGAGGAGGAAGCAAGGCCAGGTCATGAAGGGCCTTAAATGCCAGCTTATGGAGTTTGGCTTTATTCTGTGGGCAGTGGAGAACCAGAGAAAGGTTTTCAGCAGGAGAGTGACTCAGAAGTGCATTTTAGAAAGATGCCCCTGGAGAGCAGGGATGTGATTGCAAAGGGAGAGGATGGGCAGGGATTATCCTATGGGTGATGTGCGATGCTCACGCTGGGCTGGGCAAGGAGAGGAATTCAAGAGATGCTGGGTTGGCAGAACGTGTTGACCAATGGGACAGGGGATGCAGAGGGAGGACTTGGAGGGGCCCCTATGCCCCATTCCATGACGAGCCGTGGGGGCTCTGCTCAGTATCACCCTCACCCACAACAGGTATTGGGTAGAGCCTCTGGCAGCGGGGAGCTCCCTGCAAAGGTGAGCTAGACAGCTGTCTGGGGTTCCCCAGGGAGGAGAGGTGGGAGGAAGGGAGGGAGGACAGATGGGGGGAGGCTCTGCCCAGAGGCTGAGGGCAGCCCTTACCAGGTTACAGAACACAAGGCTTGACCCCATTGGCTTCCTGTAAGCAGTCCTGCCCTGCCAACTTAATGGCTTCATTTTGCATGTTATTTAAATCTTGCAATGATTCCAGCAGACACTGTTAAGTCCATTCTGCAGTCAAGTTGCCTGAGGTTCAGAGAGGTTAAGTAATGCACCAAGGTTAGGATGTGAGCCCCACCTGTCTGAATCCTCCCTCCCTCTCTGGGATAGAGGAGGGAGACTCAGAAGGTTGGGTCTCCATCTTCAGTCTTTGCAAAACTATTGTAGGGCATTGGGATGATGAACACAAAGTGGTTGAGGCCCCAGAGAAAGAACTAAGAGCTGGGATCAAGTCTTACATGTGTGTGTCTGTGTGTATGTGAGTTGGAGTAGAGGGCAGGGAGAAAGGAGTTGAGGGAGGGTGTGGCTTGTAGTGCAGCTCATGGCCACCAGGTGGTGTCCAGCCCTTACTGTCCTCACCTCCCCAGAGGTCAGACAAGGGTAAGGGTGGGGCGGTAGGGAAGGGGAGTGCGGTTGGCAATCTCACTCCTGTCCATTCATATACAGGTTGAGTATCCCTAATCCAAAATGCTTGGGGCCAGATTTAAGATTTTTTTTTTTTTGATTTTGGAATATTTGCATATACATAATGAGATATCTTGGGAATGAGACCCCAAGCTAAAGATGAATCCATTTATGTTTTATATACACACAGCCTGAAGCAGTTTTATACAATATTTTAAATAATTTGTGCATGAAACAAAGTTTGTGCATATTGAAGCAAGTATGGAATTTTCCACTTGTGGCATTATGTCAGTGCTAAAAAATGTTTTGGATTTTGGAGCGTTTTGGATCTCAGAAGGTTGCATTAGGAATTGAGGACTAAGCTCTGATTTTTTGAATTACCCAAATTCCTACCTAAGGGTCTAGGGAGCCATGCCCTACAAACCATACATTCTCATCAGATGGGTTTTATTTGACCCTATATGTTGTGACTCACTTTTCAGTCTGACTCTGGCATAACATTATGAGACAGGGAAAAAATATTTAATCCCAAAATGTATTTCCTTGACATATCTTGAAATTGCCCTGCAGTCTCTTGTGGGAGAAATCCACATTCTATAGAGATTCTCCTTCCCGCTTTGTTTTCCTTCCTTGCTTTCCAGATCCAGGAGATAATCAGCTAAGTAAGAGCCAGGCACACTTTTAAGTCTGAACTTGCTTTCTCTGAAGTCTGCTATCTGAGAGCTTCCTCTGCACAATAAACCTTGGTCTCCATAATCCTTCATCTTTAACCTGAACATTCCTTTCTATAAATCCCAAGTCTTTAGACAAGTTCAGCCAATTGTCGACCAGAAAATATTTCAATTTACCTATAGCTGGAAGCCCCCACTTTGAGTAGTTCTGTCTTTCTGAACCAAACCAATGTATTTCTTAAATGTAGTTGATTGATGTCTCATACTTCCCTAAAATATATAAAACCAAGCTGTACCCCTACCACCTTGGGCACATGTTCTTAGGAACTCCTGAGTGCTGTGTCATGGGCCACAGTCATTCACATTTGGCTCAGAAGAAATCTCTTAAAATATTTTACAGGCCGGGTGTGGTGGCTCAAGCCTGTAATACCCGAACTTTGGGAGGCCGAGGAGGGCAGATCACCTGAGGTCAGGAGTTTAAGATCAGCCTGATCAACATGGCGAAACCCCATCTCTACTAAAAAATACAAAAATTAGCCAGGTATGGTGGTGGGTAACTGTAATCCCAGCTACTCGGGAGGCTGAGGTAGGAAGAATTGTTTGAACCTGGGAAGCAGCAGTTGCAATGAGCTGACATTGTGCCACTATACTCCAGCCTGGGTGACAGAGACACCATCTCAAAATAAATTTTTTGTTTTTTACAGAGTTTGACTCTTTTCATCAACAGAGTGTTCTACCTGTATGACCCTCTCACACTCACAAACACAGAGGCATTCTTACACTGACACATGCACACACACACTCATATGCTCATTCTTTGACACACAGGCACGTTTACCTGCAGACTCTATACAACCTATACCCTATACAGTACACACCCATACAGACACCACAGGGAAAATAGGAACTGTTTCCTGGAGGCTTCCAGCCCATATAGCTGTGCTCTGAACAGGACTGAGGTCCATAAACTTTACCTGAGTGAGACCCCTGCAGGTGGTGCCTGCCTGATGAGTGGTCTCCCTCTGCAGAAGGGTCCCTGGGAAGGCAGAGCCAGCCTTGCGTGTGAACAGACATAGGCAGGAATGATGCTTCCCTCATCCCTTTTCTGTGCAGGAAATAACTAATAGAGAGCATTGCAAGGCTTGGTGCTAGGCTGGTGAGGGAGGAGAGTCACGGCAGGGAGTGAACCCAGGTCACAAAGGGGGCTTCCTGGAGGGGCGTGAGGTATAGGCAGGTCTTGGAGTTTGGATGAGGAGGATGGGAAAGGACTTGAGGACATTGCATATAGACTAGGAAAGCAGGCTGGGGGGTGAGGAGGTGCAGGAAGCTGTGCCTCTCAGGGCTCAGTCTCTTTGAGACAGGGGTGGGACTGAGGGTGTGGGTTGGTTGGGGGTGTGCTGAGAGAGGATGGTGAGTAGATGCTATTTTCTTTTTTTTTTTTTTTTTTTTTTTTTTTTTTTTTTTTTTTACTAGGCAAAGAACTTTATTAACCTTGGTTTCAAACTTGATTCCCAGGCTTCTTCGGCTTAATTAGCTGCAAAGAATGAATTGTGTATAAGCAAAAAACTGAAAAGAGCTGCAGTGTCCAAGGGGCTTGGGCTTAAAAATATTAGAGATCTAGATTTTATCAGATCCATAAACAAAAATTTCTTAAAAAGCAGTCATAATATAAAATAGCAGCTCCCAGTAACTTCTTCAAGTTTTATCTTCAGAAGTTGACTCAATTCAGTTTGCCTCATTCTTGGAAGCCTCATCAAAATTCTCCACAAGATCTGGAACTTCATCATCATCCTCCTCTCCAGTAGCAAGCGGTGCTTTTCCATCCACAGATTGTTTGGGCAGAGCTTCAGCCAGTCTCCTTAAACTGGTCAGACTGTCTGCCCCAAGCTGGTTTAAGATGCTGGGTAGCATTTCTGTCAGCTGCTTTGTCTCAGCATGGCCTGTAATGGTGAAAGTGTTCGCTGCCAGAGATGCCTGAACTTTAGGGTTGTTAAAGTGGATCACTGTTCCTTGGTTTGTAAACATATTCACCTCTTCAATACCAGAGATATTGTTCACCCCTAACTTCTTTAAGGAGAACTGAAGTTTTTTATCATCTGCTGTAGCTGTTCTATGAACCACCTTCTTCTTTCTGCGAGCAGTTCCTTTCCCACCAATGCGCACTTGTGCCTGCAGTTTGGCGAGTTTTTCCTGGTTCATGATTGTTTCTTTCATCTTGTCGGAGCGGATAAGGGGTCGCGCGGGGGACTAGGGTTGGTGCTCAGGGGGCCTCGGGTGGACCAGCTGAAATTAGGCGCACACACGCGGGGACGCAAGATGGCAGCTCAGATGCTATTTTCATAACCTTGGTTGCAGTCCCCTTGGGAGGGTGCCAGGTCCAAGGAGGTGAAGATGTTGAAGGTCTGCTCTGAGCAGGAGCTAATCTCTCCTCCTCTAATCTTAGTTTTTCTGTCTATAAACTGGGAAGAGCAACCCTGCTGGAGGTGGTGAGGGTAGGGGGCACAGCAGAGCAGCCATTGCCCCCAAGGCAGGCTCTCGACTGCACCTGGGGAGAAAAGGGAGAATCAGGGTTGGGGAGGGAATGAAGGAAGGAGCATGGGAAATCAGGGGAGGAGGCAGCATGGGTGGTGTGGGCAGATCAAGGATATAAGGGCAGGCCTCTTACCTGACTGAAGTTTGCACTCCTGGGTTTCCTGTCTTGAAACAAAGCAATAGCTGACCCCACACAATGAATCCCTGCTCTTCAGCCCTCTCTGCAATCCCTCTGGGCTTTCCTTTCTATCCTGGAAGGATGAGCACTGGGCTACCTCACTGGTCTTAGTTTTTCTCTCCATTAACTGGGAGGATGAGCCCACTGGAGGCCTTCAGGATGCAGAAGGTGCTCTGAAAGGGAGGCTGTCTTGCCTCTGGGCAGCTGTGTGGGAATGAAGTCTGATAGATCACACAGCCAGATTGTTCTCTGAGGGAATACCAGGATGAGTCCATACAGGAAACAAAGCACAACATCAACTTTGGGGACTGGTGGGTCAGACGTAAGAATGGGAGGAGTGGCACCATCCTGCCAAAATGACTGCCGCTCTCAATTCCTAAATTACCCCTGGGAAACCTACAGAACTGATTGGGATGCATAGGATTCTAGGAAATGACAACAGTGTTACAGTCCAATGGGTTCTTCTTGCCTGCTGCCCAGAAAGGCCAATGAACTGAGAACAGCAGGTGTTGCAGCAAAGAAAGAGTTTAATAATCACAGGGCCATCCAAGTGGAAGGACAGGAGATGTTTTTCAAATATGCTTCCCTGAGAATTTGGAAGCTAGGGTTTATTAAGCATAGTTTGGTGGGCAGGGGACTAGGAAATGGGGGAAGCCGATTGGTTGGGTTGAAGAAGAAATCACAGAGGGTTGAAGCTGTTTACTTGCACTGAGTCAGTTTTGGGTGGGGGTCACAGGACCTGTTGAGTCAGTTTCTTGGTGTAGGTTACTGGTCTGGGTGATACCATCTGGTTGATCAGAATGCAAGATCTGAAAAATATCTCAAATACCAGTCTTATGTTTACAATAGTGGTGTTACCTATAGGAGCAAATGGGGAGGTTACAAATCTTGTGATCTTTGGCTTCATAACTTCTAAGCCATAATTCTAAACTTATGGACAATTTTTTAGTTTTATAAAGTTCTATAAAGTCAGTTTTGGTCCCCTAGAAAAAAGGGAGTTAATTTTGGGAAGAGGCTACTATCATTTTTGTTTTAAAATTAAACGATAAGCTAAATTTCTCCCATAGTTAACTTGGCCGATGCCCAGGAATGAGCAGATGACGTGCTTGTGAAGTAAGAAGGAAGATTGAGTCAGCTGTGACGGATTTCTCTATCATTCTCAGTTTCTCACTTAATTTTTCCACAGCAGCCTGGGCATGCTGGGGGGAGGGAGAGATAAAAATGAAAAATGGCTTGGAGAGGAATGCTTGCCTTCCCCCCTACTGCCTTGGACAGTCACTGCCTGCCCTTTCACCTGGGCACAAACTCCTGGTGTGACTTGATTTAGTGAGGAGGGGCCAGCCAGGTCCCCATGGACATCACCCTAGAACTTTCTCTCCCCAGTCCCTAGGATGGGTGGCTCACCATCTAGGGAGATGCCTAGGGCTGCTTCTCTTCTAGATATTCTAGTCAGAGGAGGCTCCAGCAGCAGGGAGTGTCCAGCTGTGGCTGTGGGTGTCTGGCCCTCGCATCTGGTCCTCACCTTGGTCAGGACCCAGCACAGACTAGGATGCTGCCTTCAGCTCATCCCCGGCATATATTACCAGTCTGAGTCACACTGCTCTGAGGGAAACATTGGCCCATAGGTCAAAAGAATATAACCAAAAGAAAGAAAACAATGCACACAAATCAGGGAGACTTTAACAGAAGGGCTCAGAATTTAAAATAAATGCTTTAAATTTTCCTAAAGAGCTAAGGGAAGATATTAGCAACATGAAGTAAGAACAAGAAATCATTAAAAAAAGAACCATTTGAGACCAACCTGGGCAACTTAACAAGACCCTATCCAAAAAATTACTAAAATTAGCTGGGTGTAGTAGTGTACACTTGTAGTCCCAGCTCCTCGGGAGACTGAGGCAGGAGGATCACTTGAGCCCAGGAGGTTGATGCTGCAGTGAGCCATGATTGTGCCACTGAACTCCAGCCTGGGCAGCAGAACAAGATTCTGTCTCCAGAAAAACAAAACAAAAACCAAACCAAACAAAAAGAACCAAGTAGAAGTATCAGATAGGAAAGATTATAGTTGGAATAAAGAAGAGAATAGATGAGAAGAGCAAGGACGATTCAACTGAAGAGAGAAATAGTGAGGTTTGAGGATCACCTGGATAAACTCTTGACAAAGGCAATTGGAAAGGATCAAGAAAAAGAAGGTATAAGCAAAAATAAAATATGAGATGTGAAGGATAGAAGTAGAAATGCCAATATCCAGGCAATAGACATCCCAGATGAAAGGATGAACAAGCTGGAGGAAATATTTGTAGCAAGAGTGGACATAAAGGTACTATATTAAAAAATTGAAAGACCTAACATTTAAAGGGATCTGAGAGTGTCAATCAGGGGATATAAGGACAAACTTCCAACCACATGCATTATTTCATAAGTTTAAGACTACCGAGGCAAAGAGAAAATTCCAAACACTGCCAGAGAGAAAATACAGGTCACCTAAAAAGGAGAATGAACCAGGTTATCATCAGAGTTCCTAACAGTATTCACTACTGGCTGGAATGCATAATGATGAGACAGCCAAAGACTGTATATACGTATCCCCTACGTGTGACAGAGAATATATGATTTTCTGCACATAGAGAGTATTTGAAAAACTGATCATCTGTTACAGAGATTTGCAACCCCCAGGCCATGGACTGGTCCTGGTCCCTGTGGCTGTGGGGTGCCACAACAAGCTCAGGGCTCCCGCTGATTCTACATTATGGTGAATTTTAGAATTATTTCAATATAATTCTAATAATAATAGAAATAAAGTGCACATAAATGTAATGTGCTTGAATCATCCTGAAACCATCCCCCACTCCTGCCCCATGGAAAAATTGTCTTCCACAAAACCAGTCCCTGGTGCCAAAATGGTGGGGACCACTGATATATGAGACCCCACAGAAGCCTAAAGACTCCAAAGGATCAACATGACATAATGTTTTCTGATCATAATATAATAAACATAGATATTAATAGACATTAATAACAAAAGAATGTTTAAAATTTCCATATATCTGGAAGTGAAGTAGTATGTTATTAAATTACTCTTGGGTTATAAAGAAAACTATAAAGGAAATGATGAAATATTTAGAACTAGATTGTAAAAACAAATCTTCACTACGTACAGTATCAACATTTGTGGAATAGCCAAAACAGTACTTGGTGAAATTTATATCTTTAAATTCATTTGTTGGGAAACAAAACACTAAAAATGAACTAAGCATTTAACTTAAGAGGCTGGACAAAAGACGGCAAAAGAGCAAAAAGAAGAAAATAAAAATGGGGCAGAAATAAATAACCCAGAGAACACCAACACCTATTAGATATTCCCCAAACCAAAAGCTGGTTCTTTAAAAAGATTGCTAAGATTGACCTCTGATAAGTCTGATCATGAAAAAAGAAAGACATACTAAGTATACTCTTGGGTTAAAAGAGTAGACATACTAAGCATAGAACAAATGATAGACAATATTTACATTCATCCAAGAGGGGTTAAAAACAATACAAGCATATTATTGAAAATTACAATTAAAAACTTGGATGAAATGGATACATTTCTAAAAAGATACAAAATTCACAGGACATAGAATTTGAATAGATCAATGTTTATTAAAGGAATGACATGGCAGTTAAAAACCTCCTCTCAAAAAACTCCTTTCCAGATAGCTTTACAGATAAGTTCACTAAACTTTAAAAGAATGGATAGTATCTGATTCATCTACGCTATCCAGATAACGAAGCAAAGCTCCCCAGATCATTTTATGATGTTAACCTGTTCTTGATTTTCAAACCAGATAATGCAAAAGAAGATAATGCAAGATTAGTTCAGTTTCATCTAGGAGTTTAGATGCAAAAATCCTACATGTAAAATGCTAGCTAACCAGATACAGGTGAATATTTAAAAATGCATCATAATCAGATGGAAATTTTTTTCCAAGGGATGCAAGGATGGTTTCACCTCAGAAAACCTGTCCGTGTCATTCACAATATTAATAGACTTATGAAGAAAATTAAAGGATTATTTCAACTGATGTAGAAAAGAGTATTTGATAAAATTGATACCTATTTGTGATTTAAAATAATTTGATGAACTGGGATTCTACGAGATGTTAACTTGGAAGAGGTAATATTCCAAAACTCTCCGGTTAAGATTTTAGTCAGTGGAGGAATTTTGATGTATTCCCTCTGTGAACAGAAATAAGACAGGGATGCCCATTACCACCAATCCATTGCACCTAGTACTAGAGGTCCCAGCCAATGCTTTAATGAAAGGAAAATAAATAGATATCAATTTTGAAGGGAACCGATTAGAGTGTCATTTTTCACAGGTGATACAATTGTTTATCTAGAAAATAGAATCAATAGACAAACCATTAGAACTAATAAGAGGGTTTATCAATATTTCTGGAAATAAGATGAAAATTAATGCCATTTCTCTACGACAACCAGAACGAATTGGAAAATATAACTCAAAAATAATATGCCACTCACAAAAGCCATAAAAATGATAAAGCATCTTAGAAATCATCTAGCTAAGAATATAAATGCTATCTTTGGGACAAAATCTAGATGTCTGATAAGACAG